AAATAGCATGGGGGGTGGGGGGCGGTGGCCCTGGCCAGTTTGGCTCACCAGTTAGAGCGTCGGCACGGACCAGAGAGACCCGGGTTCGGTTCCCACTAAGGGCACGTACCTTGGTTGTAGTTTGTCCCCGGCCCTAGTTGGGGTTGTGTGTGTGGCAACCTGTCGATGTGTCTCTCTCATATCAATGTTTCTCTCTCTCTCCCTCCTGCTCTATCTGAAAATAAATGCAAAAAAAAAAAAAAAAAAGCATGGGGGCTGCCAGGTGAGAAGCAAACCTTGAATTAGCAGCTGCCATAGCAACGAGCTTCCTGTGTTTTGGACAGAAGGGTGGGACTCGAGAGGCCCAGCTCCAGGCTGATCAATTCCTGTCCCATTGAGAGAACGTGGCTGGGAGCCTGAGTTCAAGCCAACAGGCGAGCGCTCCCAGGGAGGAGGAGCCCTCCTTACAAAGCTGCCTCTCTGCCCTGCCCATCTCTTCCCCTCGGCAAAGACCCAACTTCTGGTGTCTCTCCGAAAGGATTGCCAGAAACTCACCTACAGCGGGACACACCTGGCAACTGCAGGTGAGGCCGCCTTATCACTGGGCTGGCAGGTACAGGACAGAGAGCACAGGCCACCAGTGCTGCTTTTGGGAAATGCCATTAACTATGCTGGGAGTGGTATGGCCTTTGTCCCTTGTAAGACATGTGACATTTGATGAAAATGTAATCTGGTACAAACCAGCATGAATTTATCCCCCAGGGACTGGTTTTGACCCACCTGCTACTTCTAACAACACAGACAAGCTTTTATGCCCTTTCAGTGTCCCTGCGGGAGAAGATACGGTGGATTCAGGGGGAGGCAAGGCTAGAGAGTGGAGTGTGAGCCCAGGTAGTGCGGCTCAGTGGTTGAGCGTCGACCCTGCACCAAGAGGTCGCCGATTCAACTCCTGATCAGGACACACGCTCAGGTTGTGGGCCAAACCCCCAGTGGGGGGCATGCAGGAGGCGGCCAGTCGATGTTCTCCCTCATCAATGTTTCTATCTCTCTCTCCTTCTCCCTTCCTCTCTCTCTCAAATCAATAAAGAAAAATAAATAAATAAAATAAAATAAAAGCGCCAGTACTGGGAGCAACCAAGCGTACCTGGATTCAGATCTCCACTCCACCCTGAGCTGCCTGAGTGACTTTGGGCAACTCGCTTAACCTCTCTGATCTTCTTTTTCTCATTTGTTAATTGAGGATATGCACAGCCCCCGCATCACTGGGTTTTTGTGTTAATTAAGGTAATCCAAAAAAAGAATTTAGCAGAGCTGGGTTCATAGCCCATTCTCAATAGACATAAACCTCAGTGATCACAGAGGAGGACAGGAACTTGCCCAGGGTAGGAGCACTCCTGCACTTCAAGGAGAAAGACTAAAAACAAATGAACGCTTCAAAAGCGGCAAGGTCCACCTAACCCACTGTAAGGAAGGAATCGTATACATTTGCGGTGGAAGCTAGTACCACAGGCAGGGTGCGTTAGACAAACAAAGCTGGCGGGAGCAGGGAGCTGTCCTGCCTGGCTATATGCCCAAGCCGCCACCTCCTGGGTGATCTTCAGGGAGTGCTGCCCGTGGGCCTGGTGCTGTTTCTCTTCCTTGTGTCTCCTTATCTGGTCACTTGCATCCTTTCCCACCTTCCTCTCATTCTCTCAATATCTCTCTGCTTCTCCTAACCACAACGCCCCTTTGTGTTGGCATCTTGAAGCAACAATAGGAAAACTGAAAATAAGAATTCAAGGAAGGAGGGAGGAAAGGAAATGAGTTCTTGGATCAATTAATCAAACCTGATCTAATCCACCTAATCTTACTGCCACCATAAATCAGGCAGGGGCTGTGTGACCTTGAGCAGGTTCCCTGCCCTCTCTGAGCCTCGGGCCAATGGGGAGTTCCAAGTCAGAGAGGCTGTGCAAAGGTATACAAACTTTCACAGGGAACCTTCACTACTCGAGAGCCCTGGAGCTCCCCTCAGCTTTGTTGGATCCACCTGGGTCAGGGCAGTAAGAGAAAAAGGAGGACAAAAAGAATAGGAACCGAAAGCACTGCAGAGTTTGGGATGATCAATTCTCCACCCCTCCTCCATGATCACTCAAGACAGTAGTGCCCCCTTTTCCCCATGGAGGCTCACTCATTTTCAAGTTTCCCCAGTAGAAATCATCTGAAAAAATTTTTTTAAATTTAATTTAAAGAAAGAAAAAGCATCTCAGTGCCTTGATAGCTCTTGTTTGGAAGGGGCCCCTTTGTGAACCCCACAAGGTAACGATTACAGCACTAGGAAGGTAGTATGGGGTAATGGTTAACCACAAGCTTCTGGAACTAGACTGGGCCAATGTCTGACTCCTTTCCTTTTTACCGTGACCTTGGGTAAGCTCCTCCTGTCTTCTGTGCCTTCACTGCCTCGCTTGTGAGGTGGGACTCTGAGGACTGAAATGAGTTGCTACTAAACTGTTGGGTGCATGTCTCACAGCAAGTACTTGGAAATGGCAGCTATTTGTTAGGGTCCTGCTACTGTTGCCACCGGTCTCAGCACCAACTTAGTGACTTCCCTGGAAAACATCCTCGTTATCCGAACCCAGAGGAAATACAGGCTAAGACTGTTTCTCGTCTCAGTTGCCACGTCATGACTTGTCTGAAGCCTAGACCACTGATGTAGTGAGGATTTGATTTCTTCCAAGGGCACTACTGTGTTTTATTTGTTGTCAATGGGCATGCTTTTATTGCTCTGTTTTACCAGCCACTGTCCTCGAAGATTAAAATAATAACACCTTTAGTTAATAACACCTTGCACTTGGGGAGTTGCTTTCATCCCAACAGCTCAAAGAACTCTACAAACATGACCTCATTCGTTCTCCCTCGCTCCCAGGACGGGGGCACGCCTACCTTAACCAGCCCGAGAAGGGGAAGCCCAACCAGATTCCCAGAAGCCAAATTATTGATTAAGCGTTTCCTCCTCCCAGCCACAGATCACTCAGTCCAAAGTGACCTTTTGCCCACAGAAGAGAACCATACCCGAGTCTCTCTGGCTTGGGGGTCTTGTTTTCCATGCCTCTCCCAGGTGCCCATAGTTGCACCCTGCAAATAGTAAAAGTTAAACAAACCTTCAGGATAGACTTCCTTGGTATCCAGGAGGCAAAAGGTTTAGCAATTTTGGCATTTTCAGGGCCCTCATCTTCCTTGAGAACTCCTGATTTAAGACCTAAGGGCTCCTGCAGATGAACTGCCTCTGCCCAGGTACATCCTACTACTCATGGCCCTGGCATGTTGGGCACCTGTACATACTTGTGAGAACTGGAGCCCCACCATGACAGTACTTCCTTGTTCTGGGGCTGCTTATGGCCTGAACTCCCTGGCAATACAAGCTGCGGGCTGCTCACTTTTGTTTTCGTCTTGCAATTACTGGAAGGGAAGAGCTGCAAGCTGTACTTGACTCTCCAGGCCCACTCCAGGCCTCAGCCCATGTACACTTTGGGGTGGCCAAGTGTAATTACAGCAAGAGAACCAGGTCTCAGCAGGCAAAATGCTGACTCCTGTCCCTCCAGAAAAACACACAAACAAAAGACTAACTAAATGGAATAAACTCATGATAGTGCCTGAGGCTGTTTTTCATCAGTAATAAACATTGGGTGTAACTTTTTCCCTATTTATATTTTCTTTTTTATATGGTCAAGTTTTCTTCGACAGTTCAATCCGCTTTAGACAAACTCAAAATAGAACCACGGCTTTCTTCTTAGCCTCAAAATATACTCTGGGTTTGGTATTTCAGATTCAAAATTTGCTATGTTTTTTTTGGGAAACTGACATTCTAACAGTGAATTTCTAGTAATGTTACCTTCCTAATCTCTCTGCCCCGTCCTCAGTCTGCTTAAACTTCTAGCTCTTTATTCACCCTCACAATTCCCAAACACAGCCCTCAATGTCGACTCCTCATCCAGAAAGTGGAACACTATAAACAAACTTTGTTTTTAAATGGTAGGATTGAGAGCCAGTGCCTGCATAACACTCATTACTGTTTTGAAAAAGATGACAGAAATTAAATATTCCGTTAGATCCATCAATTTAAGAAAAAAAAGTTCTGAGTTTAGGATATTAGTGCCTGAGAAAGTCTCATTTATTCCCTTGCAGTTATATTTAGTGTACATTTAACATTGGTTTACATTTTCAGAGAGCAAAGTTTTGATCTAAAACGTAAAAACAAAACAAAACACAAAAAACCCTGTTTGGCCTTTGGGGTGAGTAGTGACTGGAAGGAGGCACCAAAAGGGTAAGTTATATTTCACTAAAAGGCTAAAAAAAAGTAGAGCGGTTTGAAAGATTAAAAAAAAAACACAACAATCTTGAGACTCTGAGCAGCTGCAAAGGCTCTATCTGCTTTCTATTTTGATCATTCTGTTTCTCGAGATGACCACATCTTTCAGAGGAAATGAGTCAAAGCCACTCTGTCTTGCTTTTCCAGCTGAGCATGTTCAGTTTCAATGAAGTAATGAATGAACTTGGCCGCACCACCCCCAATCCTACAACACCAAACAGAGGGGCCTCCGCCAATCAGCAGGCACTCAAGGTTTTCAAGTTGAGTTCAAACAGGCCCACGGGGCACCAATCGGAGCGCGCGGCTCCGCCCCAAACTCCGAGCCGTGGCCAACCACGAGCCAGGACGAGTCAAAACACAGCGGCCGGCCAATGCCGGGGCGCCCCACGGCGCCGACCTCCGCCAATGGGCGCGGCCGGGCAAAAAGGGAAACAGTGCGGGTCCGCAGGCCGCAGGATTCGAACCGAACGTCGGCTCGGAACCGGGTGCTGGTTGAGCGGCGCAGGCCAATCAGCGGCGGCGGCTCGCGGCCCCCGAACGTTGGGACACAGCCCCGCCCCGCGCCGTTGTTTGTGTGTCGGCGGCCGCGGGAGCCGGACCACAACACTCGCCCGGTGGGCTGCGGGGCAGCAAGGGTCCGGAGGCCGCGGGCGGGGCGAGCGCGAGCCGAGGGCGGCCGGCCTCCCGTGGCCGCCGAGCCTGATCGCGCGCCGGCCAGACCATGTCGGTGAACATGGATGAGCTGCGGCACCAGGTCATGATCAACCAGTTCGTGCTGGCCGCGGGCTGTGCGGCCGACCAGGCGAAGCAGCTGCTGCAGGCGGCCCACTGGCAGTTCGAGGTGCGTGCGGGCCGGGGCGAGCGCGCACGGCCGGCCCCGGGTCCCGGGCGGGGGCGCGGGCCGGGACGCCCAGCCGCGCGCCGGGACGGCGGGGGGAGCGCTATTTATATCGCCCGTAAGGCGATCCGCGGCCGCGAGGTGGGGCGCGGGGCCCGGGGGCGGCGCGGGGGGCCCGGCCGGCCGAGGCGTCGGGTCTGGTGGCCTGCGCGCGGCGCCGCGGACTCTGCGGAGACCGGCCGGCCGGTGGGCTTCCTGCCCCAGCTCGGTTAACCGCCTCCCCGCCGCTCTGTTTGTCCGCAGACCGCCCTGAGCACGTTTTTCCAAGAAACCAACATTCCCAACAGCCACCACCACCCGCAGATGGTAAGCGCGGCCGCGGGCGGGGCGGGGCGGGGGCCGCGGACCCCGGCCGCGGGCGCGGACCCGGCGCTGTCAGCCGCCGGCGCTGACAGCCATGTTGCCGGGGAGCGCCGCGCCGCGATGTAAACAAAGAGCCAAAATGTCTTCCAGGAAAGAGCGGCTCCCGGCCGGCTGGCTCACCCAACTTTGTGGTCTGGCCTCCTGGGCTGCTGTGTGGACCCAAAACCATGTGCCCGGGGCCCTCCTCGGGGCGAGGGGGTAGGAGGGAGGAGAGGGCGGCAGGGCCGGAGAGGGGGCTCGGCTGAGAACCACACGTCGGGGGGAACTGGGAGCCCAGGGAAGGGGGGCCTGAGGGTCTGCGAGCTGGAGTGTGTATTTACCGGGAGCCCCCTCTTGCCGTTGGGCGGGCAGCCCCCCATCCAAACAACCCAGCTCTGCAGGGAACAGGAAAGGGATAAATCCACCCTGGCTCCGACCCAGAGAGGTATGTTCTCTCTTCCTGTTTATGGATAAAGGACATACCCTGAGCATGGGGGACATACAGATTTTGACAAGAAAATGCCAAGAATTTGCTTTTAATCTCAGTCTGTAGACATACACAAGTGCAGGAAACAGCATTGGCTTTCTTCGCCCTCCCCCCCCCCCCCAGGGCCCCCAGGCCTGAGCCTTTGCCCTCCTGGCCGTGGGGTATCCTGCCTTCCACAGGCACAGGACATCCCTTCCTCTTTAGAGACTGGAATGCTGTGTCCTCCCCACCCCCCTAGTTACCTATTAGCCCTGCTGGGGGAGGGACTGTCCCCGGCCTGGGGTTTGTAAAACATTATTCCGGGAGATCTGTTGTGGCTCCTGAAGTGCATTTTTGGCATTTTTGACACTTGGTGTCCTTGCCTGTGGCTCCCTTTTCCGAGCTGTCTTCTTGCCAGGAGGAGGAGCTGCCAGTGGTTCTTCTGCTGTGTCTTGTCCTTGGCGCCCTATTGGCATCTAGTTGCAAAGGACAAATAAAGAAGGGTCTGTCTTGACCTTTTAACCAGCTTTTTCTTGAAATGGCTCGTGCTGTATATAAATCAAAAACCAAACACCCACGGGATGTGACGGGAGAACTGCGCTGGTGGCGGGGCTGTGGCTGCTGAGGCCAACCCTCCCTGCACCTGCCCCTGGGAAAGCTCTGGGTCCCACCTGCACTGTGAGCCTGGGACCACCCTGCCTCCGTCTCTCAAAAGGGCCTTGGTTTGCTCCACGAGGCTCAGGGCTTCCTGAACAGCCATTCTGCCGTGGCAGGGCGGCTCCTGGGCCCAAACTGGGACTGGAGGTCCCTTTAAGTCCTGTAGCTCCTTATCTGCAAATCCCAAGGTATCTAATCTTTTTGGAAGCTTCCTTCCCTCCAGGCAGGTGTTGGGTTGTGTAACAGACCTTATAATCAGTATATCCATCAGCACACCAAGTATTGAGTACCTGATGGGCCCGGTGAACACCCTGCTGCAAGGAGTCAGTCACTTTTTTAGAGATACTAAATCAAGGGAAAAGTTAAATAAAAACAACAGAGACCAGTAATGGCATGATAGCAACAACAGAAAAGACTCAGGGCGCGAGTACTTCATACATGGTTGTCCGGTAGATTACTGCACATTCACGGGGTTGGAGGCATCTGCTCAGACAAGGGGTCCTGGGTTGGATGGGGAGGGCCCGGGAGGGGAGAAAGGCCCACAGATTGGAAGCTGGCAGGGTGCAGTAGACGTGTGCTTAAGAAGAGAAAGCTCTGTCCATACTCGTTTGAAGCACAGAGCCGGAGGGGCCTTTAGAGCGTCTGGTTCAAACCCCATTTTACAGGCCCAGAGGCTACAGAACCCGCCCCTGCTCACATGGCAGGCAGGCACAGGGTGGCTGTAACAGTCTACACGACGGCTCGTGAACTGGGGAAGTTGGTCACGATGCTGTGATGCAATTGGCTTCTACACACTGCCCCCCCCCCCCATTCATTGTTTCCTGCTGCCCTGGGGTGAGGGGAATAGTGACGGGAGGAGGGAAATGGCCTGGGTGAGGCCAGGCCTACAGTGAGTCTCGTGGCTGCCCGAGGAAGAGAATGGTCAGGACTTCCTAGCTGCTGCTATGGGGCTGGCCCAGTTAACAGGGTGGGGTGCCCCCCCATTTCTGGCTGGGGCTTAACTGCAGAGCTGTGAAAGCTCCCTCTCTGCCAGGTGAAGAGTCCTAGAATCTTGCTCTCCTGCCCTGTGCCAGGGGGAGGGGCCAGTGTTGCTAAAATTAGGAGAAATTCAAAGATAGACTCCCATGGCATCCTGGGAAAGGGAGAAGCTTTGGTGAGGTCAGGACCAACCCGCTTTGTGTAGGCCTTCCCTGCCGTCTCCCCGTGCCCTGGTGAGGGGCCCCTGGTGAGGGTGGATGGTGCCTCCACCCCCAACCCAGCACTGCAGTGTTGGAGGGGCCTGGCGTCCGCGGTGTTCACAGGGGGAGTGCCAGTTCTAGCCCTCCACCCCATACCCTGCCCTTCCTGGCTGGGGTTCCCTGATCGGAAATGGCAGGGGATAGTGAGGAGTTTGGGGAGCCCCCCTCTCAAGGTAGTGGCAGAAGACGGTAGATGCTGGGATATTTGTGGTTACCCCCAGGAAGAGGGCTGAGGGGCTGAACAGACAGATGTGCTGCGAGGGGGAGATGCTGGGGACACAGGAAACCAAAGTCCCAGGCTTTGTCCTCGGGGAGCCCAGGCACAAGTTGCACTGGACCGTTGGTGTGATGAATGTGGGTTAGAGGCGTGGAGGTTGGGCCTTTGAATCACCTCCTCAGTTTGTACCCTGCAATGGGTGTGCTTTTGGTCAAGAGACTTGAGTTCTGGGCCTGTTTCCTCGTCTCCAGTCGAGAGAGGATCATGGAAATGACCTAGCATCCTTGTGAGAAGTAAGATATACGCTGGCTGGTTTGTTAATGTGGAATGAACCCAACACTGTGGCTTCTCCAAGGTTGGCCCAGGAGACAGACCCTGGCTCTGGCTGCCCTCCCTTGACCAGCAACCTCGGAACATCTGAGGGCGGATTATTGAGGGGGCCAGCTGGGCTCCTACCCAGGGTGAGGCTAAGCAGTGGTGTCCTGGGCTGCTCCCTTGTCCTCGCTTTAATCTGACACCCCAGCTTCTGGTCGGAATTAACCATTTACTCTGACACTCCTCAGGGTGTCATTCCTAAGCATCAGGAAACACTCGGCTTTAGCACAAGTTGTCGGGTTTGTCCTTATGTTTGTTCTCGGCTCAGGATGAGGGGTGCTTTAGTCCTGTTGAAGCTGTCTGTGGACTGGCAGATGGGAATAAAGGAAGGGCCAGCCAGACTGAGCCCCCCCAGAGGCTCCTTGGGACCACAAAGTATGTGTAGGAATCGGGGGGGGGGTCCAGGTGGCCAGCCCTCCCGACACCTGTGTTCTCTCTGAGCAGATGTGCACCCCCAGCAACACACCAGCCACGCCGCCCAACTTCCCCGACGCCCTGGCCATGTTCTCCAAGCTTCGCACCTCTGAGGGCCTACAGAGCAGCAACAGCCCCATGACGGCCGTGGCCTGCTCTCCTCCTGCAAACTTCAGCCCCTTCTGGGCCTCATCCCCACCCAGCCACCAGGCCACCTGGATCCCACCCTCCTCCCCAACGGCCCACAGCTTCCACCACCTGCACCACCCACAGCCCACGTGGCCCCCCGGAGCACAGCAGGGGGGCCCCCAGCAGAAAGCCATGGCTGCAGTGGACGGCCAGAGATGAGACTGGACGCACCGCGCGCTGGGCTGGAGCTGGGGGCAGTCCGGGTCGTGGGGACACAGGCGGGCTGGGGGGCTGGGGCAGGTGGGGGTTTCCTGAAGATCGCACTGGAAGATTTTATAAAGGAATTTGGGGGGTGGGGGGATAGTAAACTTCCTGAGCCACTTGGGTCCTTCAGGAGTTTCTCTTCAGGCAAGTTTTTCTGTTTTTAATATATAACTGTAATATATAAATATATAAATATAATGTATGTGAATGGGGCAGGCTGGCCTGGGGAATTGGGGTCAGAAGAGCCCCCCCGCGCTCAGCATCCCTTCCTCCGCCTGCCCCAGGCAGGTGCTGCGGAGCCGAGTGGTGTGATGCTGCAGGCGCAAGGGGTCTGCGAGCTGCCACCTGTCCAAGGTCATGCTTCTGCAACGGGGACGAAAAGGGCCACCACCACGCCAAGTGTCGGCTACAGGAGGGGCTCCTGGAGGTGCCTGGTGGCAAAGGTGTGGGCCTCTGCCATCATGAGACTTTGCCCCCCCTCCAGTTGGCAAGGGTCAGAGGCCCAGGTTCCGCCTCGCTCTTGGCTTTGTGTCCTGACAGCGGACGCCAGAGTGGAGCTTGCCTTTGGATCTAGTTCCCAAATCAATCATTTCACCAGGGTGAACTTTTAATTTAAAAACTTAAAAAGAGACTTTTCTAACTTCCCTGGTTTGCGATGCCTTTATTTGCCTTGGAGAGAAAGCTCTGTGCTTGGGAAGGGGCAGTGGTTGGGGATCAGAACGGGGCACCTGGCCATGTAGCTGGCCTGTTCGGACAAGGTCTGGATGTCAGGACCAGGAGGGTGATGGACAGGTTGGTCCAGTTGAGTGAGGAGGGAGGAAGAGGATGGGTCCTGACTTGGTTGCTTGCGACCCCCTCTCCCTCTTGACCTTTGCTGCGGGTCACAGCCAGGCTCAGCCCTGCAGCCACTGTCCTCATCTATAGTGGGGGTGGGGCGGGGCTGCCCCCACCTGCTGGCAGCCCCAGACCCCTTCCTACTGGGCCCATCTCTGCTCTGCTGTTCCTGCCCTTGCCCCCTCCCTCTGCGATAGCCTGTCCTTGTGGGCATGCCGTGTGGCAGTGGTCCAGAGGCCAGCCAAGGCTGCCCAGAGACGGGGTGGGCTTCAGAGAGACCGAATGTTCCCACCTTCCCACAGCCTCCAGGCGTCAGAACAGGCAGGAGGCAGCTCCTGGCCCAGCAGGGCCCTTGCTCGCCTCCTCCAGTGCAGGTGGGGCGCATGGTGAGGAGCCTGTTCCCCGGGTGTCCGGGGCTGGCCCCGCAATGGGACTGGGGGACCTGGAGCTTCAGGCCCAAAGTGAGGTGACCCTTGAGAAGGACCCTTGCTAGCAAGCGCAGCCACCTGTTCCAGGCCTCGGTCTCCTCAAGCCTGCTGCGGGACTGCCCCAGCCCCCTGCGTGCGACCCTGTCCTTTGAGGCTGGGTTTGTCCTTTCAGTTTTATTTCCTGGTTGGAAACCCCTGAGGCTCCTCCCACCCTCGCCCCTAACCCTGCCCACCTGTGCTTTCCCAGGATGGAAGGGACAGTCCCTGGGTGTGTGGGTACGTGTGTGGGTGGTCGTGCTGGGACGTGGGCACAGGCTGGTGAGGGCCAGTGGCGGGCCCAGGTGTGGGGCGGGTTGTCGCATGGGGAATGCCGATCCTTGTCCCGCGGGTGTGAGGCAGGCCTGGGGGCAGAGGGCCGCCGGTCCCTGCAGCTGCTCCTCCCTGCCTCGCTGGTGAGGGGCTTCTGGACTTTCTCAGGGAGGGGAGAGAAACGAGGGCCCAGGCAGGAGAGAGGAGAGGCTGTGGCCATGGCTCCTGCCTCCAGAGGCAAGGACACTGGGATGGGCCCACGTGGGCCTGAGGTTGCCTCCTGCCATCTGGCCTGAGTGTTCTGTCACCGCATCAAGATGAATGGCATCTTGGTAGATGGGGAAAGAAGGGGGAAGCCCCTCTGCCAGGAACACCTGCCTTACCCATGACACCCTAGCCACCCCACCCTCTGCCCACACGGGGTGGGGACAGGAGAGAAACTTCTCGGGGCTGCTTCCTGCCACACTTCTGTGTGGTTCTGTCACCCCATCCCCTCACACCCCAAAGCAGGCCTCCTTTCCCATGGGGGGGTGGGAGACAGAGACTGGGGGTGGGGGATCCCCACCATTGAGCAGGGAGCCAATGAGAGCAGACCTGAGGCACAAAACTGCTTCAGTGACTTTAGAGTCCTCGAGGTGGCGGCAACCCTGGGGCTCCCGAAGGGACGGGGGCTGGTCCTTGCAGCTGCTGCACCTGCCTGAGCCCAGGCACACTCCTGTCCCTGTCCCCTCCAGCCCGCCAAGACGGTCAGCACGGGGGGCAGCAGCGAGCCCTCCTGCCTGCCGGGGACAAGCGGAGAAAAGCAGTTGGGGCTGCGTGGGCCGGAGGACAAGGCCCGGCCTCCAGGCAGCACTCTTCTCTGTTTCAGGGCTGGGAGGAGAAGGGGCCAGGGAAACAGCCCAGCCCGCAGCCCCGCGTCTGCATCCTCCTGCCTCTGCAGGGTGGGCTGAAGAGGACCTCAAAGAGAACCTTCTCGGGGGCTGGGGGCGAGCCAGCGGCAGGAGAGCAGCGGGCAGCTGCCGCCTCGCCTTCGCTCCAAGGTACAGCGTGCTCACTAACGCCCCACGTCCCAGGGCAGGAAGGCAGGTGTGAGGCAGGCCAGCTCCTCGGGCTCGGCTCCCCGGGCTCGGCTCCGCGGGCTCGGCTCCCCGGGCTCGGCTCCTCGGGCTCGGCTCCTCGGGCTCGGCTCCCCGGGCCCGGCTCCTCGGGCCCGGCTCCCCGGGCTCGGCTCCTCGGGCCCGGCTCCTCGGGCTCGGCTCCTCGGGCCCGGCTCCTCGGGCCCGGCTCCTCGGGCTCGGCTCCTCGGGCTCAGCTCGGCCCTCCCGAAGCCCCGTGCGCTCAGAGTGGCTCCACCTGTTTGCGGAGCTGTGGCCTCATCTCCTGCTTCAGGCCAGACCCCTCTGCGGGCAAAGGTCCGCCCGTGGGCCTGGGAGCCTCTGGAGGCACCTGGCCCCGGGCCCCCCTTCTGCCTCCATCTTGAAGCAGGACAGAGAAGCCTGGAGGCGCCAGCTTCTTTAAACCTTTATTTATAGCTCTGCTCCGTGAGTGGACGACCTCGGCCCCCGGGTGGGCTCCTCCTGCCCCTCCGCGGGAGGCAGGTCCAGGGGCATCTCCAGGCCCGCGGCTGGCTCCCTGGCGCTGGGCAGGTGGGCCAAGGTTGTCTGGGAGAGGCGCCCCTCCGAGGAGACCGGTCTGTCTGTCCGCTGACGAGGAGGAGCTGCAAGACAGAAGGGCTGACACGGCTCTGCCTCGACTCCCATGCCACCAGCGTGCCCAGAGCCCAGGGCAGGCGGAGCGGCCCGCCAGCCAGGCGCAGCAGACCGTGCTGGAGAGGGGCCCCCGGGGCTGGGGGTGCAGTCCTCTCGAGCTCCTAAGCAAGGCCCTTTAGCATCCCCGAGTGAGAGAGAAAAGCCCTCCGTCGGGGCCAAGGGCCCGCCCCTTCGGTAATGTTTCCTCACGAATACAGGGCAATAATCACACTACGTGCAGGAATCTTCCAGACCCCCTTCCTCTCCTGCTCCCGTGACGTCTCAAGTGCCCTTGGAGTAGTCAGTGGGATGCCAAGGAGAAGGGAGCACAGTGCCCCCAGGAAAACAGTTCTGTGGCCAGGGCCGGAGACCCGTGGCTGCCCACCACTGACTCTGCTCCGGGGCCTCTCACCTGGGGCCGGGGGGCTGGGCTTTGAATCCCAGCGCCGCCCCCCAGCTGTGTGCGCTGGGCAAGTGCCGCCCCTTCTGTGCCCGGGTTTCCCAGCGTTCAGTGAGGCTGACAGCGGCCCCTCCCGCTAATGTTGGCGCGAGGACTAAAACGGTTCCCACGCCCTGGCCGGTTTGGCTCAGCGGTTAGAGCGTCGGCCCGCGGTCCAGAGAGACCCGGGTTCGGTTCCCGCTAAGGGCATGTACCTCGGTTGCAGTTTGTCCCCGGCCCTGGTTGGGTTGTGCGGGTGGCAGTCACTCGATGTGTCCCTTTCACATCGATGTTTCTCTCTCTCCCTCTCTCTCTTCCTCTCTTTCCCTCCTACTCTAGCTGAACAAAAAATGGAAAAATGTCCTTGGGTGAGAATTAAAAAAAAAAATCATTGAAATGGTTCCCACGTGTAAAGCTCTTCCACGGGGCTGGCCGGTGAGGGGCCCTCGCTGCAGGCCAGGTGCCATGGCCACCACTGCCACGGCGGCTCCCTGCGTCCTGCAGGCACTCCCTGAGCGAGGGTGTCATGAGCACCAAGGCCCGGGGTGGCCCTTGAACCTCCCACAAGCATCTGCAGTGTTGTGGGTCCGTAACTCTTCATAGGAAGGTCACCACCTCTCCTTCGATTCTCATGGGGGCCCTAACTCTAAGCACGAATCCAGCACCCCTTTTCCTGACAGATGAGGGAACAGGCCTGGAGAGGGGAGAGACTTGCTTAAGTTCCGTGGAAGTGAGCTGGTCTCCTGGCTCCAGGCCAGTGTGCCCTTCTGGCCCCCGCGTGGCCTGACCCTGGGAGGCCCTTCGCCCTCTAACTTCCAAGCAGGACCCAGCCCCTCAGGGGACAGCAGAGATTCTAGGGACCTTCCAGACCTGGGGGAAGAAGGAGGTCCTCTGCAGACAGGGTCTGACGGAGGGCTTCTCGGGGCCCTGTCGTGGTCCCCAGCCCAGCAGCCACCACACAGCCCGTGAGCTCGTGTGAGCAAGGACTTGGGCTTGGAGCCAGAGTCTGGGGCTGCGACCCTGCCCCTGTTCTCTCTCCTGCGGAACGGGGGCATTTGCCACTAGCATCCACCCCACAGACCTGGGCCACAGGCAGCTCTCCGCAGCCACGGCCTCTCTTCCTCCTGTCCCAGCTCCCAGGCCCTCCCTCTCCCGGGGAAACCAAGGCCCACACCGGCCGTTCACAGGAAAGGGGGCTGTCGGGCAAGGGGGCAAGGCCTGGGGCAGTGCTGAGGCCTCTGGAAGGACACTGCACCCCGAGGGAAGCTACCTGAGGTGTTGCCCGCCAGCATCTGAGCGCTCCGGGGCCGCGTGGGCAGCTGGCCGCTGTCGCTGAGGGTCGGCTGCCGGTGCACGTGGGGCCGGGATGACTTGGCTTTGTGCCTGGTGTTGCCTAAGCCTGAGGGCAACAGTGGAGAGAAAGGTCCTCAGACACTAGCCGAGCTCTGTGGGGGCTCCTGGGGATGGGGAGAGGGTCGCACAGCCAGCTTCAAGACAAGAGGGGTCTGTGCGTGCTGCTGGGACTGGACCGCTGTCTGCCACCCGCAAACTGGCCGGGGCTCGGGGACACCTGGATGTTCGGAGTCAGGGAGGTGGAGGAGAAGGCAGCCAGGGCCCAGTGGCCCCAGGCAAGGCCTGGCCCTCCGGGAGCTGGGCGGATCCTGTGGGACCCAGCAGGGAGCCTCGGGGGAGCTGGGCCTCCTGGACACTCACTGTCCTTGCTCGGGATGCCCGGCAGCCTTTTATCCATTCGTCCCTTGTAAATGTGCCCGTCGAGGCCCAAGATGTCCACCTCGTCATGCTGTGGAGGCAGGTGGGTGCCCATCACCATGAGGCCCCTCAGTCCCCAGCAGGCCAGGCCACAGCACTGTCCTCTGGGACTGGGCTGCACCCGGGCCGAGCGACAGGGTGAAGGGAGGTGGCCATGTTGTTCTCCCAGCCGCGGTGGAGGCTGTGGCCCCAGGCGGGTGGGTGGCCGGGATGGCATTCTTCTTCCCAGCAAAGGGTAAGAACCTGAGGCTTTAACGGGGTCTGATTAAGAAACTGCCTCAAGTCTGGCCAGTGTGACTCAGTGATTGAGCGTTGACTCTGCACCAAGAGGTCGCCGGTTTGATTCCCGGGCAGGGCACATGCCCAGGTGTGGGCCCGATCCCCAGTGGGGGTCACGCAGGAGGCAGCCAATCAATGTTCTCTCTCATCGATGTTTCTCTCTCTCTCCCTCTCAATTCCTCCCTCTCTAAAATCAATAAAGGGGAAAAACATTTTTTTTAAAAAAGCTGCCTCTGGTGGTTTTGCCAGATGACCTGAGAACCCGGGGGCATCTGGGCCCGCCCTCATCCTCCGGGTGCCCAACCTTCATGGCGATCTGGATCTCCTCGGGGCACGGGCCCTGCGGCAGGTGCTGCAGGCGGCTGCGGCGGTAGGGGTAGGTGAGGGTGTGGCTGCCCCCACAGCGCCGCGGCATCGCCGAGTAGGTGTAGTCGGATATATCTGACACCCTGTGAAAAAGACAGTGGGGTCAGCGGGAAGAGGTGTGACCTGGGACACTTCTGGTGGGGCCTGGCCAGAGGGAGGGGGGCAGCTGTCTTCAGGGGTCTCTGGGAGCCAGGGCGGGAGCAAGGGGCAGAACAGGCGGGTGAGTGAGCAGAGCGACTCCGGGACAGCCGACCTGAAGAGCACACGGGCGAGGGTTCCCGTCGGGCCGCAGTCTGTGCCCCCCGGCTGTCCTACCGTTTGGGGCAGGGGTTGCTGAGGCACTGGGCCTGCAGCAGCTCGTGGATCATCTGGCTGCTGGCCTTGACCGAGCCCCCGAAGTGGATCTGCACCTTCTCGATGTCCATCAGCATCTTGGAGTGCATGCTGCGCAGGCGCCCCACGCTGCGCTCCATGGACGCCAGGTCGGCCCGCGGGAAGGTGCCGCCGCCCAGCTTCAGGCTGAGGGCGTGGGCAGAAAGGCGGTGAGCGGCCTCTCAGGCCGGAGCCCATGACCAGGCAGAACCCCGACTCATGCCACCCCTTTATCTACCCCCAGTTCAGCAGGACCCTGGCTGGACTTTCCACAGTCCCCAGGGGACCATGTCCAGGCTCGCGCGGAGAGGCCCCCTGAGGTGGGGCCATGCAGAGAGCCAGGAGGGGAGCCAGCTCCTCCAGCTAACCTGGGGTGGTGGCGCCAGCCCCTCCCTGTCCCCACACTTGGAACCCCTGGACTCCTAAGCGCAGTCTGGAAACCACCCGCCACTGAATTCTCATGCTCAGGAGTGGCCAGGAGTCCGAGAGGGTGAAACCGCCCCCTGCACTTGACCCCTACATTCACTGAGCGACCCTCTTGCTGAGCGATGCTGGACCCCTACCCCTGCCAGGCCAGAGCTGCTGAGACAGCAGGAGGGTTTGGGGGTGTGGGGAAGTAAGGGGGCCGACACCCTTGGCAAGGCCCCACCAGGACTCCCCGCAGACCAAAGGCAGCTGATGACTAGCCCTGCTCTTCCTCCTCCGACACTCAGGCCTGGGACAAGCTGGTGCCAGCTTAGAAGTGTCCCAGCGGGGAGGACACCAGCCCCACCCTGCGGCCTGTCTGCCCGCCTGTCTGCCCGCCTCCCGCAAGCCCCGCGCAGGACTCTGCCGCGTACTTGCGGTTTTGCTGCCGGATCTGCTCCAGCTCAAAGATGAGGTAGGGGCGGGTGGAGCGGTGCCCTGGTAGGCCCTGCCCCACGGGGGTCATGGGGATGATTCTGGGCAGGGCGGAGAGCAGGGGAAGGTTGGAGTGGGGGCCTGGGTCTGGGGCCACCAAGAGGTGGACGCAGTCCAGGTAAACAGGGCAGACCCGAGGGAGGACAGGAGGCGAGGACATGATACAGCCCCACTGTGCCCCCCCATTGAGACCACCCACTGTGCCCACCATTATGACCACCCACTGTGCCCATTATGACCACCCACTGTGCCCCCCCATTATGACCACCCACTGTGCCCCCCATTATGACCACCCACTGTGCCCCCCATTATGACCACCCACTGTGCCCGCCCCATTATGACCACCCACTGTGCCCGCCCCATTATGACCACCCACTGTGCCTGCCCCATTATGACCACCCACTGTGCCCCCCCATTATGACCACCCACTGTGACCCCCATTATGACCACCCACTGTGACCCCCATTATGACCACCCACTGTGCCCGCCCCATTATGACCACCCACTGTGCCCCCCCATTATGACCACCCACTGTGCCCCCCATTATGACCACCCACTGTGCCTGCCCCATTATGACCACCCACTGTGCCCCCCATTATGACCACCCACTGTGCCCGCCCCATTATGACCACCCACTGTGCCTGCCCCATTATGACCACCCACTGTGCCCCCCCATTATGACCACCCACTGTGCCCATTATGACCACCCACTGTGCCCCCCATTATGACCACCCACTGTGCCCGCCCCATTATGACCACCCACTGTGCCTGCCCCATTATGACCACCCACTGTGCCCCTCATTATGACCACCCACTGTGCCCCCCCATTATGACCACCCACTGTGCCCCCCATTATGACCACCCACTGTGCCCCCCATTATGACCACCCACTGTGCCCGCCCCATTATGACCACCCACTGTGCCCCCCCATTATGACCACCCACTGTGCCCCCCATTATGACCACCCACTGTGCCTGCCCCATTATGACCACCCACTGTGCCCCCCCATTATGACCACCCACTGTGCCCCCCATTATGACCACCCACTGTGCCCCCCATTATGACCACCCACTGTGCCCCCCATTATGACCACCCACTGTGCCCCCCCATTATGACCACCCACTGTGCCCCCCCATTATGACCACCCACTGTGCCCCCCATTATGACCACCCACTGTGCCCCCCATTATGACCACCCACTGTGCCCCCCCATTACGACCACCCAGCGGGGTTCAGCCAGGTGTGAGCACTCACTGTCCAGTCACAGGTGTCTCCAAGGGACGGTCACATGACAGGCAGTGGAAATGTGCCAGGAGCTGCCTGTGAGGAGCGGGACACAGGGTCTGGAGTGGCAGAGTTGAGGACCCATCTCCAGGCAGGCCGGAAGCACAGCTCCCCGGGGGGCCGATCCTGTCCCTGCTCCCCAGAGCTCACCAGCTTCCAGAAATGCCCACTACTGGGTGCAGATCCAGCACCCACCTGTCCTAACCCACTTGCCCTGAGGGGTGCTGTGTAAACCTCAGGGGCCCTCTGGCGGCCAGTTTGGAAATCCTTGGATTCAGGCTGCCATGGGCCAGGTCCCCCAGGAGTGGTCTCAACTCTGGGGACTGGGGACTGGGGACTCTCTACCATGCCCAGAGAGCCTCGGCCTCACTCCCCTCCCTTTCCCCATAACACGAGGCGGCCTAAGCCCTAGAGTACTGTCACCCCTACTGTGGGGCCGTCCCGGTGGGGTCGGCAATTCCCTGAAGCACCCTCCACCTACCCCCACCCCCGTGCGCTGGTGGGAGTGTTCACCTGGGCCCCCAGCCCTCCACCCACCCAGACCCTGCAGAGCGTGCCAGCCTGTGCCAGCCTCCCCCTCCCGGCCTCACCTCCGCATGCAGGCGGCCTCGTCGGCCTGGTAGTGGGGCGAGCGCTCTTTGAGCTGCTGTCGCAAGGATCTCCACCGGTCCTCTAGCAACTGCTTCACAGGGTCCAGCTCCAGGCGGTCCAGCTGTGGTGGGTGTGGGGGAGCCAGGTGAGCTCTACGGGAGCAGGTGGGGGTCTGCGGGGCCCGGAGAAGGTGGCATTGCTTTAATCCAGGGGCCCTGGAGCCTCGGGCTGCCCCGCACCTTGCTGTCCATCTCCACCAGCAGCTTGTCCAGCATCTTCTGCCAGTCCTGCTCCTGCCCGCTCATCTTGGCCACCAGCTCCTGCATCATGTGATTCAGCTGCTCCGTGGTGGCGTCAAACTGGACACGGCTCACTTTGCATGCCAGGGCACTCTTGTCGGCTTTCTGCCCGGAGAGGGGGGAGGCCGCCCCGATGGGAGACAGCCATGGAGGGCCCCTGAGCTGTCAGCCCTGACACTGAGCCCACGGCCCCCTGGCTCCCCTCCACTCCTGGCCTTTTGAAGCATGACTAGCGCGCCCCCAGGCAGGAAGCCCCTCCGGGCCCGGTCCTTACCACGTCGATCTCCATCTCCAGGTGCTCCCTGTTGGCTTTCTCCTTCTCGAGCTTCTCCAGACCCTGGTACAACACCTGGGAGGCCAAGACAGCAGAGAATAAGGAGCAAGGACTAAAGGGATGGGGTGGCCACGGTCACGCCACAACCCCGCCCCAGTCATCCGGCTGGCCCCTCACGTCGATGTCCTTCTGTTTCTGCCGATGGTCCTCGATGAGGCTGCTGGTGATGATGTTGAGCTTCTCGCAGTCACCCTGCACCTGCAGGATGGCGCTCTGGACATGGCCCAGCAGCTCCTCATCCTGCAGCAGGAGGGACAGACAGGCTCCCGGAGCTGCGGGCATTGCTGCCCCTAAGGACGTCAACCCTGAACACATCACGCAGCGGACTCCAGACCGCTTCTGGCTCCCCTGGTTGCCCACACCCTTTCCCGCCAACAGGGCGCCCCTTGCTCCTTCTGTGTGTCCACCCAGGGGACAGAAGCCTCAGCCTCTTGCCTCCCCATGGACCAGCCTCGAGGAAACTGGTCAGCAGTGGGGGTGATCGATAGAGGTAATTGAGGTTCAGGAGTGGTGAGCGGCCCTGTGACCCTCAAGAGTCAGTGTGGGGGCCACAGTCTCCCCAGCTGCCCTGAGCTGAATCAGAATTCCAGACTCCAAGAGGCAGGATTCCGGGCCCGTGGCTGTCCCCACCCCACCAGCAAGCCTGCCCTTTGGAGAGGACTTGGGGTCTGGAAGACCGGAGGGAAGGAGGCAGTGGTACCTGAAACTGTGCCAGCCTCCCGGGGCACGTCAGTGGACAGCTCCACCCTCGGCCAGCTGTGCTTCCCAGCCCACGGTCCCCTCCCCCAGACCTACTCGCTGTGACCCTATGGAAGGACCCAGGCTTTGGTGGGCTCCCCACTGGAGAACTAGCCCCTGGGGACTCCTCAGCCACCCCCCTCGGTGGGCCTCCCCGGGGGGCCGCGTGTGGCTGCGCAGCAGGGAGGCGGCAGGAGTCACCTGGCTCTGGAGCTTGGCTTTCTTGGAGGGCCGGGAGGCGGCCAGGCTGTTGACCATGTTCTGTAGCTGCTCGTAGCGCTGCACCAGAATGCTGACCTGGTGACTGAAGTCCAGGCTGCAGGCCGGGCAGGTGCTCTGAGGGTCAATCTGGCCAGGCGCCAAGACGGTGGGCAGGGTCTTCGCAGGGGCCATGCTCATGGACAGCAGCGTGGACGATGAGGCCAGCATGTTCTCGATGATTGTCCTGAGCTTGTCTAACTGGGGGTGGGCGAGAAGGCAGATGCGGGTGGTGAGCGAGGCTCGGCCACGCTCCGTCCACACGGTCACTGCTGGCCGGTGCTGTGGGACCCTCTGGCCCTGACCTGGCAGGCACCACGCCCTCAGGGCCTCGCGGAGTAGGTGGCACGTAGGAGGCGCTAACATCTGTCCATTAAGTAGAGACCAGGGCCCTGGCCAGCTTGGCTCAGCGGTCAGAGCGTCGGCCTGCGGACCAAAGAGTCTCGGGTTCGATTCCCGCTCAAGGGCATGTGGAGGCAGCCAATCAATCTGTCCCTCTCACATCTCTCTCCTTCTCTCACTTTCCCCCAGTCGTTCTATCTAAAAAATAAAGAAATAAAAATCAATGAAGGACTATCCTCAGGGGCGGATTAAAAATAATAATAGGCCCTGGCTGGTTTGGCTCAGCGGTTAGAGCGTCCGCCTGCGGTCCGGAGAGACCCGGGTTCGGTTCCCGCTAAGGGCACGTACCTCGGTTGCAGTTTGTCCCCGGCCCTGGTTGGTCGTGTGGGTGGCAGCCACTCGATGTGTCCCTTTCACATTGATGTTTCCCTCTCTCTCTCTTCCTCTCTCTCCCTCCCACTCTGTCTGTACAAAAAATGGAAAAAAGTCCTCGCATGAGGATAAAAAAAAATAATAATACTAGTAAAGAGTGACCAGGGTTCTCGGGAACAGCAGCACGTGCTGACTAATGCTGACTAATGCCCTGGTAGAATAAGGGTTTCCGGACCTTTCTACAGCCTGCCCGTTGGTGCGGTGACAATGCGGCTCCTCTCGCTAAATCTGAGTGGTGACATTGGTATCGGTTGCAGTGATGACACCCAGGCACTGCTCCGGGCCCCAGGGGGAAGCGTGTCCTCACACATGCTCCGTCCTCACCCAGCACAGAACTAACTAACAGTAAAAGACTATGATGGACCTGGCTGGTTTGGTCAGTGGTTAGAGCGTTGGCCCGTGGACCGAAGGGTCTCCGGTGCGATTCTGCATGTAGCTGGGTGCAGGTTCACGCCCTGGTCCCGGGGTCGGGGTAGTGCAGGAGGCAATCGATGGATGTGTCTCTCTTGCATCGATGTTTCTCTCTCTCTCCCTTCCACTCTCTCTAGAAATCAATGAGAAACTATCCTTGGGTGAGGATCAACAAACAAAAAGAATGTGGTAAGTGCTACCACCACTCCAGGGCGCTCTCGTGGTCTGGTCGGGAACAGACTCCCTCCACTGGCCCTCTTGCTCTCTCCTGTGTCCTATGGTCCCAGTTTGTCCCCACAAATGATTGGCCCCAGACAGGCACCGGCTGCAAGGGCAGCCAATCCCTAGACTGGCCAAAGACCTGTGCCGTGTTGCCTGGTTCCGAGAGAAAGAGGCTGGGCCATCCTAAGCCCTTCCTCGTGGAAGTGTGTGACGTTGCAGGGCCTGGGCAGCCACTTTGGACCATGAGTAAGAGCTGGGAAAGCTGCCAGAGTAGAATGGAAGAGAGATGTGAGAGTATTTGAGAGGAGTGAAGGAAAGAGAGACAGAGGCATAGATACACCCCCAAACAGACAGGGAGTCTGGAGGGGACGCCCTGGCCTGGAAGTCCCCCTTGCTCCAGCTCCCTGCGTGCGTTCACACTGCCCAGCAACGCCCCGCCCCCCGCCTGAGCTCAGGGCAGAGCTCAGCTCGACCCGGAGGAGCCTACACTCTTCTGAAGGGCCCGGAAGAGCCTGTCGATGGGCCTCGCGATAACGAGAACAGGCTAGTTCTAGAGGCCAGGAGGGCGCTCCCCAGACCACGGGCATTTCAGTGGGGCCCGGAGGAGTGAGAAGCAGCCTCGGAGTTGAGGAGGGTGAGGCGCCCACTGCAGGGAGAGGGCAGGCAGAGGGCAGCAGTGTGCTCAGGGGAGCTAGCAGCCCTGGCGCTGGCGATCGGGGTGTGGCGAGTGGTACCTTGAAGACGCTGCTCAGCAGGAGGGTGCTCTCCCAACTGTGGCCCTGGGACAGACGTGGGCTTTCGAATGGCAGGTGACTCGCGCACACAACCATCAGCTCTGGGGTCATGAAGTAGCCACACCACTGTCCCAGCAAACTTGGGAGTGGCCCAGAGTGGGGCCTCTAGCACCACGGGGCTCCTGACACGAGGCCTCGGCTCAGTGGGTCTTCCTATCTGACCCTGCTGGGAACTCCCAGAGGGCTGCTCCCGGGCCAGACACTCCTCACCGCGAACATTCTGCAGTGACCAAGGACAGCACTGCCCAAGAGTTAAAAACAGATGCTACCAAGAGAGTAAAAAGACAACCCAGAGAATGGAAGAAAATATTTGCAAATCACACATCAAACAAGAATCCAGTATCTAGAATATATAAATAATTCTTATACCTCAACCATAAAAAGACAACCCAATTTTTAAGTGGACAAAGGATTTGAATAAGCACCTCTCCAAAGAACACACACATGGCCAGTAAGCACATGAAAAAGTGCTCAGCACCATCAGGCCTCGGCCACGCCAGCCGCAGCTCCATCGCGATGCCGCTCCGCGCCGCCAGGAGGCTGGAACGGAGCCAGGAGGCTGGAACAGAGAGAACGCAAAAGGGAGACAGGTGCTGGTGAGGCTGTGGCGGGATGGAAACCCCTGTGGGCTGCTCGTGGGAAGGTAAAAGGGTTCATGTGGCCACTGTGGAAAACAGTTTGGCAGCTGCTCAGAATTAACCAGAGTTTCCACATGACCCAGCAAGTTCACTCATAGGCATATAACCAAGAGAGAAAAACGTATGTCCAACACCCATCAGAAAGAATATGTGCACCCTCATGTTCATAGCAGACTATTTACAATAGCTAAGATCTGGAAGCAGCCCAGTGCCCATCAGTAGACAAGTGGATAAAACAGCTGTGGTACATGTACACAATGGAGTACTATGCAGCTGTAAGAAAGAAAGATCTCTTATCCTTTGAGATGACATGCAGGGACCTGGAGAGTATTATCCTAAGCGAAACAAGTCAAGCAGAAAAAGACAAATATCACATGATCTCACTTATTGTGGAATATAATGAACAAAACAAACTGATGAACAAAATAGACCCAGAGACATAGAAGTAGGGTACAGACTGACAAACCTCAGAAGAGGGGATGGGGGGAGGTAAACTACAGAACTTATATGCATGTATGCATAACCAATGAACATAGACAACAAAGCTGGGGATGGGGCGGAGGGTGAGGGGGATCGGGAGGAGGGTGTCCATGGGAGAAAAAGGAGAAACATCTGTAACAAAAATAAATAAAAATAATTGAAAACAAAACAAAAACGCATACGTCCACCCAAAAACTTGTACGCGAATGCTCACAGAATCAATTTTCATTACAGCCAAAAGGCAGAAACAACCCAAATGCCCTTCAACTGACGAACGGATAAACAAATGGGGCACAGTCACCATGTAGAATGTTCTTCAGCCAGAACAGTAGATGAAGCCCGTGCTATAATATAAAGGAACCTGCCCGGCCGGTGTGGCTCAGTGGTTGAGCATCGACCCTGCACCAAGGGGTCGCCAGTTCGATTCTCGGTCAGGGCACATGCCCAGGTTGTGGGCCCGATCCCCAGTGGGGGTCATGCAGGAGGCGGCCAATTGATGTTCTCCCTCATCGATATTTCTACCTCTCTCTCCCTTTCCCTCTCCCTTTCTCTCTAAAATCAATAAAGAAAACAAAATATGAAGGAACCTGGCGGACATCATGCTAAGCGAAAGAAGCCAGACGCAAAGAGGCCGCATGTTGTATGAGTCCATCCGTGTGAAATGTCCTGGAGGGTGAACCCCTGAGGACAGACAGCACTTAGTGGCTGCCAGGGCCTGGGGGGGCAGGGAGTGACTGCTAGCAGGGACACGTTTTGGAAGTGGATTATGGTGATGGCTGCGCGAGTTTGTAAATGTACTAAGAAGTGTCCCGTTCACTTTAAAAAGGTGAGTTTTGTGATATGTAAGTTTTCCAGTTTTAAAAGATGGGGGAAAGCTGGAAAGACTTATTAACGGCAGGTGGGCCTCTCCCCTCGTGCTCCTGTGCCCTCAGAGCTGGCTCTGGCTTAGGAGAGGCTGGACCCCAGGTGCAGTCACACACACACACACACACACACACACACACACACACACGGAGGAGCCGAGGGGTGCTGATGAGGCTGCCCCCGCCTGGACAGCTCACTGAGAAGGACCCTGGTCTCTGTGCTGCGTGTGGACCTCACCTGGTCCTGTAGGTAGAGCGAGGCTTCGGAGACCGAATGCTCCATCATGACCTTGCCCCGCTCCTGGCTCTCCCTCAGCTCTGCCAGCTCCTTCTCGATGTCAGCCACGGAGGCCCTGTGTGCACAAGACATGCCTGGCCCCACTGCCGGCGCTGCCCGTGGGTGGAGGGTGCCGGACCGGGCCTGTCTCACCCCTTCCCATGGGCTCTGGCTGGGGAGCCCAGGGCCGGCCTGTCCCAGAGGTGGGCGCCCAGTGTCTTCTAGCAGGCGAGGCCTGGCCCCATTAAGAGAGGGCACTTAGGCCCTGGCCAGTTTGGCTCAGCCTGCGGTCCAGAGAGACCCGGGTTCGGATCCCGCTAAGGGCACGTACTTCGGTTGCAGTTTGTCCCCGGCCCTGGTTGGTCGTGCGGGTGGCAGCCACTCGATGTGTCCCTTCACGTCGATGTTTCTCTCTCTCTCTCCCTCCCACTCTATCTGTACAAAAAGTGGAAAAATATCCTCGGGTGAGGATAAAAAAAAAAAAAAAAAAGAGAGGGCACTTAGGGACCCGAGCAAGGACTTCCTTCCAGCTCCAACCGGGGACAGAGTCTAAGGATAATTTTGGGGGTTGGGGGAGCTCTCCCAAACCCTGGTGCTGAGCTGTTTTAGGAACTTGGGAGATTTCCACCGGCAAGGTGAGTGAGATGGGGGCGGCCTGGAGAGAAGACCGACCCAGGACAAGGACAGTGGCTCAGTCGGGGTGGGTGGGCCAAAGCCCGCTGTCGCTCCTTGGCTGATGCAGGGCAGGGCAGTACCTGAGGATGCCCAGCTGCAAGCCCAGGTGGCCAGGTTTCAGCTCCTTTCCCACTTCCTCGGCCCCTGGGCCCTCCAGGAGCCTTTGAATCTTCTCCATCTGCAAACCACAGGCGAGGGTCAGGCAGGCTGGGGCTTGCTTTCGGAAGGTGTCCCTCGGCCTGAGCGACCCTCCCCCATCCCTAACCCTAACCCAAGCTTCCCACAAGAACCAAGGTCTGCTCCTGACATCCTCCACCCATCCACCCCATGGGTGTGGACAACAAAGACCCAGCAGCCCTTGCCCGCTGGCCCCAGTCCCACACTTGGCCCCAAGGCTGCTTTGGCGACTGGGTTTTCCTGGGAACGGCCGCGTGCGATAGGAGCGCGGCCTCCTTGTCGGCTTCGCTGATCACAAACAGCTTTCAGTCGGGAAGACGTGGTGATACCTGAGGGGCATTTCCTGCCACGGGCTTGCGAAGACCCAGGGAGACGATCGTGGGGCGAAAGGCCCATCCAAACAGACGGCCAGTGGGCTTGCCGGAGTGTAGGCAACCCCCCCTTACCTTCGCTTTTTCCTGCCGAACTTCTCTGGTCAAGTTCTTTATGGACTTCAGCTGTTCCGGCAGGTCTGCGGGGATGGTCTTGTGGACTACGGGAAATGAAGGCCTGAAGTCAGGAGGGTTAGATTCCCAGTGAGATTCTAATCCCCACTTCCAGCCCCCACGATGAAGCTACCCCAGAGAACACAGGACTGGAGGCAGAGGATGGGAAGAAAGGAGACAGGGGTGTCCTTGGCCCATAAAAAAATCCACCTACAGCTTTGGGACCACTGGCCCACAATTTCCACCCAGCTCTAAAATCTTAATTATTCTTTGGACCCAGAGCTGTGAATGGACAGAGGTCACGTTTAGTTCATCAGCACTCTCCCCTCCGACCCCCCCGGATGCCAGATGCCGGCGGCGCCCCTTGCCCCGCACCCCCCACAGCTACCAGGGCCTGCGGAAACGAAGCCGTGCTCCTCTCCTGGGCGCCTTCACGCCTACTGGTCTAACTCCACCCTCTGGACCCTGAGCTGGGAGAACCCGGAACGGCCAGAACGGACCTTCTATTTTCAGGGACTCAGGAAGACCAGCTGCCAGGAGCTGAGGCCCAGAGAAGCAGGGGGAGGGAGGGGGACAACATCAACGTAGCATGAAGATCACAGCCTCTCCTCCCCTCGAGGGTACCCACCCAACACTGCCAGCATGTGCTGGATCTTCTCCAAGTCCGTTTGGCCAGCTCTCTCCTCATCCAGGTCCTTCATTTTCTCCTTCAGCTCCACGTAGAGGCCGATGAGCTCCCCTATCAGCCGGAAGGTCTCCACCGCCATGGGGAAGCTAGGAGCCACTTTCTCCAGCGAGTCGCGTTTCCCGCTCGGGATGTCACTCCGTTCTGATGAGACCCTCCGGAGATATCCGAGGGAGTCTGCACTCCTGGGGAAGGTGCCATCTTGGCTTGGCACAGTCTGACTGTAAGGACCCAAATCTATTTGGACATACTCGACACCTGGGTACCCTGGGCCATGAGGGCCAGGGTACATCAGGTAGTGGGAGTCTGGGATAGAGTATGCATGGTCACGCTGGTCTGGGCCAGGTGATTCCAAAAGCTGTTCATCTGGGTGTGCAGATTCCACACCTGTGCTTAATGGAACTGAACCACGCTGGGCTGTGTCAGGATGCATCGAATCTTGTTGATCAGTTTCTGTCGGTACCAAACCCTCTTGTGACTTCAAACCTTGCTTGGCTAGGTGTGGTGACTGCTGTCTCTGTTGATCTCTGCCAGGAGGTATCACACCATGTTGATATGGGCGTGGTGATACAAAAGTTCGAGAATCCGCATGGCCATGAAGCTCTGATGGTACCACACTTCGGTGATAGGCACCAGGTTGCCGCCAATCACGCTGATCGGTACCAGGCTGCATGAAACCTTGTTCATACACACCAGGCTGGACCGGAGCATGAGGATAGGTCCCAGGCTGGACCAAACCACGTGGTCTAGGTTGAACAAAACTATGTGGAAATGCACCTGGCTGTACTAACACACGCTGATCCATTCTGGGATGGACAAAATCAGGCAGACCTGCACCAGGTTGGCCCAAACCAGGCTGACCCACACCAAGTTGGACTAAATCAGGCTGAACTGTACCAGGTTGGACTAAACCAGGTTGGAACAAATGAAGCGGACCTGCACCAGGTTGGACTAAACCAGGCTGACCTGCACCAGGTTGGACTAAACCAGGCTGACCTGCACCAGGTTGGGCTAAATCAGGCTGACCTGCACCAGGTTGGACTAAATCAGGCTGACCTGCACCAGGTTGGACTAGACCAGGTTGACCTGCACCAGGTTGGACCAAAACATGTGGATAGGCACCAGGTTGAACCAAACTATGTGGATATGCACCAGTCTGTACCAAACCACGCTGATCCACTCCAGGTTGGACCAAACCACGCTGACCTGCATCAGGTTGGACAAAACCACGCTGGTCCATTCCAGGATGGACGAAACCAAGCTGAACTGCACCAGGTTGGAGCACACCACGCTGACCCACTCCAGGTTGGAACAAACCACGCTGACCCACTCCAGGTTGGAACAAACCACGCTGACCCACTCCAGGTTGGAACAAACCACGCTGATCCATTCCAGGTTGGAACAAACCAGGCTGAACTGCACCAGGTTGGACAAAACCACGCTGGTCTATTCCAGATTGGACCAAACCAGGCTGAACTATACCAGGTTGGACAAAACCACGCTGGTCCATTCCAGGTTGGACCAAAGCAGGCTGAACTGCACCAGGTTGGACTAAACCAGGCTGAACTGCACCAGGTTGGACCAAACCACGCTGACCTGCACCAGGTTGGACCAAACCACGCTGGTCCATTCCAGGTTGGACCAAACCAGGCTGAACTGCACCAGGTTGGACCAAACCAGGCTGACCTGGACCAGGTTGGACTAAACCAGGCTGAACTGCACCAGGTTGGACCAAACCACGCTGAACTGTACCAGGTTGGACCAAACCAGGCTGACCCGCACCAGGTTGGACCAAACCAGGCTGACCCGCACCAGGTTGGACCAAACCACGCTGACCCGCACCAGGTTGGACTAAACCACGCTGGTCCATTCCAGGTTGGACCAAACCAGGCTGAACTGCACCAGGTTGGACCAAACCAGGTTGGACCAAACCAGGCTGAACTGCACCAGGTTGGACCAAACCAGGCTGACCTGGACCAGGTTGGACTAAACCACGCTGGTCCATTCCAGGTTGGACCAAACCAGGCTGAACTGCACCAGGTTGGACCAAACCAGGTTGGACCAAACCAGGCTGAACTGCACCAGGTTGGACCAAACCAGGTTGGACCAAACCAGGCTGAACTGCACCAGGTTGGACCAAACCAGGCTGACCTGGACCAGGTTGGACTAAACCACGCTGGTCCATTCCAGGTTGGACCAAACCAGGCTGAACTGCACCAGGTTGGACCAAACCAGGTTGGACCAAACCAGGCTGACCCGCACCAGGTTGGACCAAACCAGGCTGACCTGGACCAGGTTGGACTAAACCACGCTGGTCCATTCCAGGTTGGACCAAACCAGGCTGAACTGCACCAGGTTGGACCAAACCAGGTTGGACCAAACCAGGCTGAACTGCACCAGGTTGGACCAAACCAGGCTGAACTGCACCAGGTTGGACCAAACCAGGCTGACCTGGACCAGGTTGGACTAAACCACGCTGGTCCATTCCAGGTTGGACCAAACCAGGCTGAACTGCACCAGGTTGGACCAAACCAGGCTGAACTGCACCAGGTTGGACCAAACCAGGTTGGACCAAACCAGGCTGACCTGGACCAGGTTGGACCAAACCAGGCTGACCTGCACCAGGTTGGACCAAACCAGGCGGACCTGCACCAGGTTGGACCAAACCAGGCGGACCTGCACCAGGTTGGACCAAACCAGGCGGACCTGGACCAGGTTGGACCAAACCAGGCTGACCTGGACCAGGTTGCACCAAACCAGGCTGACCTGAACCAGGTTGGACAAAACCAGGCTGACCTTCACCAGGTTGCACCAAACCAGGCTGACCTGAACCAGGTTGGACCAAACCAGGTGGAACTTCACCAGGCTGGACCAAACCAGGCTGACCTGGACCAGGTTGGACAAAACCAGGCTGACCTGGACCAGGTTGGGCCAAACCAGGCTGACCTGTACCAGGCTGGGCCAAGCCAGGTTGAACTGCACCCGGTTGGACCAAACCAGGCTGAACTGCACCTGGTTGGACCAAACCAGGCGGACCTGGACCAGGCTGACCTGGACCAGGTTGGGCCAAAGCAGGCTGACCTGGACCCGGTTGGGCCAAAGCAGGCTGACCTGGACCCGGTTGGGCCAAAGCAGGCTGAACTGCACCCGGTTGGACCAAACCAGGCTGAACTGCACCCGGTTGGGCCAAACCAGGCTGAACTGCACCCGGTTGGGCCAAACGAGGCTGAACTGCACCCGGTTGGACCAAACGAGGCTGAACTGCACCCGGTTGGGCCAAACCAGGCTGAACTGCACCCGGTTGGACCAAAGCAGGCTGACCTGAACCAGGTTGGGCCAAACCAGGCTGAACTGCACCTGGTTGGACCAAAGCAGGCTGACCTGAACCAGGTTGGGCCAAACCAGGCTGAACTGCACCCGGTTGGACCAAAGCAGGCTGACCTGCACCCGGGTGGACCAAAGCAGGCTGACCTGCACCTGGTTGGGCCAAACCAGGCTGAACTGCACCCGGTTGGACCAAAGCAGGCTGACCTGCACCTGGTTGGACCAAAGCAGGCTGACCTGAACCAGGTTGGGCCAAACCAGGCTGAACTGCACCTGGTTGGGCCAAAGCAGGCTGACCTGCACCCGGTTGGACCAAAGCAGGCTGACCTGAACCAGGTTGGGCCAAACCAGGCTGAACTGCACCTGGGTGGACCAAAGCAGGCTGACCTGCACCCGGGTGGGTCAAAGCAGGCTGACCTGCACCGGGCTGGACCAAGCCACGCTGATCCATTGCAGGTTGAACCAAGCCACGCTGACCTGCACTAGGCTGAACCAAACCAGATGGATATGCACCAGGTGGTACCCTACCAGATGGATAAGCACCAGGCTGGACCAAACCATGCTGATCTGTGCCAGGTGGAATCACGCCAGGCTGACCTGCACCAGGCTGGATCACATCTTGCTGCTGTGTGCCAGGTTGTAGGAAGCCAGGTGTTTCTAAACTAGGCTGTGCAAAACCTTGCTCATCTGTAGCAACTTGCATCAAACCAGGTGCACCCCAAACATGCTGATCTGTGAAAGGTGGAACCAGGCCTTGTTGGTCCATGCCAAATATTTTGAATCTTTGCTGACCTCTGCCTAAGGGTCCCACACCACTCTCATCCATTGCAGGCTGCTCCACAGCACGTTGGTCTGTGCCATAAAGCCTCACACCACGCTGATCTGTGCTAAGTGGAACCACAGCAGGCTGCTCTGCAGTAGGTAGCTCCAATCCTTGCTGATCTCTGCCAGGCAGCAGCAATCCTGGCTCATTCATTGCAGGTGGCATCATACCCAGCTGATCTGTTCTAAAGGGGACTATGCCATGTGGATAAGTGGTAGGAGGCAAGCGCTCACGCTGGTCCAGGCCAGGTGGCCCTAATTCATACTGATCTGGCCTTGCGTAGACTTGACCCTGGCTAATGTTCATTCTCCCATAACGATCTGGGTACACAAGCTGTTGTCCATCTCTGGTCAAGGGTAAATCCTGTTGAACTGGGCCAGCGTACGCAGCTTGTCCATCGCCTCTTAGACGTGCTAAGCCAGGCTGCTCTCTCGGCTCGTACTGATCAGACTCCATTCTGAACTGGGACACGGGGGGTTGAGGGAATTTTGCGAGGCCGGCTTCATCACGGACCCTTGGCTGTCCTCTACCAGAGGTCAGCCTGCTTCGATCCCTGCTAAGAACCCCTTCAGAGGGGTATCCTGATCCACTGGCTCCTGATAAGGTCAGAGGGGGGCCAAAATCACTGGCAGAATCCAGACCCTGGTCAATACTCGAAGGCTGAATGGAGGCTCTAGTGGGACTCGCATCAATTGATGTTGAGGAGGTCTTCCCTTTGTGCTTAAGAACTCCTGGTGCCGGCTCGAGGGACTGGTTGAAGAGGAAGAAAGAAAGAAGACTACAAGTAAAAAACACCGTAAGACTTAGAGGGAAGGAAATCTGGGGTATGTGAGTAGGATGACGTAGGCCCTTGGGGGAAAATACCCTCTGGTTCCCAAAACTAAGCTGGACACAAAGACGGAATTGGACACCCTTGAAGAATAGGCCTCAAGATTTTTGAGAATCTGCACATTTGCAGATGGAATTATAATACACAACTTTCCTCATAAAAGACTGAGGCGCCCTGGCCGGTGTGGCTCAGTTGGTTGGAGCATTGTTTCATACACTAAAAGGCTGAGGGTTCAATTCCTGGTCAGGGCACACACCTAGGTTTCGAGTTTGGCCCTGGGGGCACGTGCAAGAGGAGTCGATGTTTCTCTTTCACACTGATGTCTCTCTTTCTTTCTCTCTCTCCCTCTCTCCAAAATCAATAAACGTATCCTCAGGTGAGGATTTAAAAGGGGAGCACTGCAAAATACAAGTGACCCAAGCTAACTCTCACTGAGGCTACAAATAGAAAACATGCATAATTTATTACGTTTAAAATATGAAGTCTGCCCCGGCTGGGTGGCTCAGTTGGTTGGATCATCCCAACACACCTAGGTTTCAGGTTCAGTCCCCAGCCAGGGTACACGCAGGAAACAACCAATGGGTGCGTGGATGGGTAGAAGAGCAGGCCGATGTCTCTCTCAAATCAATTTTTAAAAAATTAAAATATGAAGTCTGCTCCTTGATTGGCCCATTGCTGATGGTAGAAGGATACCCTGTGGGGCAACTAAACCATATATTTAAAATGTAGACAACACAGCCCTGACTGGTGTGGCTCAGTTGGCTGTGTGTTACCCTGTGTACTGAAAGGGTGCTGGTTCGATTTCCGGCAGGGCACCTGCCTGGGTTTCAGGCTTGATCCCTGGTAGGGGGCATGCAGGAGGCAGCCGATTGATGTTTCTCTCTCTCATTGATGCGTTTCTTGCTCTCTCTCCTTTCCCTTCCTCTCTCTCTAAAAATCTATTTTTTTTAAATCTTAAAAAAAAAAACCAAGTGGGGGAGGAGGGAAGAGAGAGGAGGCTGGGGGAAAGGGGAGGAGGACAAAGAAGGGAGAGAGAGGGTGAGTGGGATGGGAAGGAAGGGGTTAGGAGAAGAAAAAGAATAGTAGTTGCCACCCATCTGCCAAAACCCATAATTGACCTTAAAAACGCCTAGTTTTGAAATCCCGATTTCATACCTATATTAAAGGATCCCACCGACAAAGCAAGAAAAATTGGTGTCCAGTGTGTTGTATTTCTCACCCGGAGACAGTGAGGCTCTGTCCGGCAGAGGCCAGACTATCATCACCTGAGCTCATACTCTTTTTTTTTTTTTTCTTTATTGATTTTACAGAGAGAGGAAGGGAGAGAGATAGAAACATCAATGAGAGAGAAACATCAAGAACACTGACTGGCTGCCTCCTGCATGCCCCCACTAGGGATTGGATCCACAACCTGGGCATGTGCCCTCACCGGGAACCAAACCGATGACCTTTTTTTTTTTTTTTTAATCCTCACCTGAGGACATTTTTGCATTCATCTTCAGATAGAGTAGGAGACAGAGAGGGAGGAGGAGGAGAGAGAAACATTGACGTGAGAGAGAGACATCGACTGGCTGCCACCCACACAACCCCAACTGGGGCCAGGCACAAACTGCAGCTGAGGCACATGCCCTTAGTGGGAACCGAACCCAAGCCGCTCCGGTCCGCAGGCCAATGCTCTAACCACTGAGCCAAACTGGCCAAGGCTGAACCAGTGACCTTTTGGTGCATGGGTCGATGCTCAACCCGTGAGCCACACCGGCCAGGCTGAGCTCATACTCTTGCTTCTCAAAATCTTGTAGAATTTCTATTTATTCTCATTTGCTTCTGGAGTTGTTCATGATTATGAGCAACTGTCAAAACACTGACACTTTGTGCCTGGCCTGTGTGGCTCAGTGGTTGAGCTTCGACCCTGCACCAAGAGGTCGCCAGTTCGATTCCCGGTCAGGACACATGCCCAGGTTGTGGGCCCGATCCCCAGTGGGGGGCATGCAGGAGGCAGCCAATCGATGTTCTCTCTCATCGATGTTTCTCTCTCTCTCTCCCTCTCCCTTCTCTCTCTCTCAAATCAATAAAGGAAACAAAAAATTAAAAAAGAACTGAGCCCTGGCTGGTTTGGCTCAGTGGTTAGAGTGTTGACCCGCAGACCAATGAGTTGCGGGTTCGGTTCCGGTCAAAAGCACGTACCTCTGTTGCAGTTTGTTCCTGGCCCTGGTCAGGGTCGTGCAGGGGGCAACCAGTCAATGTGTCTCTCTCACGTCAATGTCTCTCTCTCTCTCCCTCTCAATCCCTCCCTCCCACTCTGTCTGAAGATAAATGGAAAAATATCTTCGGGTGAGGATAAAAAACAAAAACAAAAAACCGACACTTTCTGAGCTCTGGGTGAAGCGACACTGTCACAGGCGCTTATGTGGGTGCTTGTTGATAGGCCTAGAAGGTGCCCTCTGCTGGCGCCCCGAGAAAATGTGCGCTCACTCAAAACATCCCACAGTGCTCGCTACACATAAAGCAGCTTCGGCTTATAAGAAAACAGCAATATGTCCGTGTCCAGTCACTGTGTTGTTCATGAAACTGACATTGTATGTCAACCGTGACTGAGACCATGTTTTACAGGTTTGTTTTCAATAGCGAAAGCAGAGGCCCCCCTTCTCCTAGGCTACTCCTATTTGCAGGCTTCTCTTCCCATGCTTGCTTTTTTGTTGTTTTTGTTCATCCTACTGACAATATTTTTTTTAAATATGTTTTTATTGATTTCAGAGAGAAGCGAGAGGGAGAGAGAAACATCCGGGATGAGGGAAACATCAACTGACTGCCTCTCGCGTGCCCCCTCCTGGGGATCGAGCCTGCAACCCAGGTACGTGCCCTTGACTGGGAATCAAACCTGAGACCCTTTGGTGCACGGGGCAGTGCTCTAACCACTGAGCACACTGGCCAGGGCTTCCAGCATTTTCTTTCTTTTGTTTCTAGTGCGTGCCCCTAGCTGCTAGGGTCTAGCAGGAACTGAACCCGGGACTCTCTGGTCCACAGGCCGACGCCCCAACCGCTGAGCCACACCAGCCGGAGCTCCAGCATTTTCTGATGCTACTTTCCTCTAAAGATGGGCAAGGTCCTGGCCGGTGTGGCTCAGTGGTTCGAGTGTGGGCCCACAGACCAAAGTGTAGTGGGCTTGAATCCTGGTCAAGGGCACGTACCTGGCTTGCAGGTTCGATCCCTGGCCATGGTTGGGATCATGAGGGAGGCAGCCAATCAATGTATCTCTCTTGCGTCAATGATTCTCTCTCTCTCTCTCTCCCCTCTCCCTTCCACTCTATCTGAAAATCAATAGAAAAAATCCTCAGGTAAGGATTCACCAAAATAAATAAGTAAATAATAAAATAAAATAAAAGATGGGCCCAGAATTCAGAAAACAGTCTCCAGGACTCGCAGGATGTCTTCTGTACTGAGCCAGTATTTGTCATACCCCAAATGGCCACTTGGTGACACCAAAGGGCTCACTCTCTTCCCCTGCTTGTGTCTGCACCCATGTGACCCCTTTTTAAAAAAAACTTTTTTTCTTTCCTTTATTGATTTTAGAGAGAGGAAGGGAGAGGGAGAGAGAGATAGAAACATCCATGAGAGAGAACATCGATTGGCCGCCTCCTGCATGCCCCCCACTGGGGATCAGGCCCACAACCTGGGCACGTGCCCTGCACCGGCGACCTCTTGATTCATGGGTTGATGCTCAACCAGTGAGCCACACCAGCTGGGCTGTGTGACCCTTTTTGAAGGAACCAGATGCACAAAGCCAGGGGAAGAGAAACATCAAGACCGAAAGGACAGCTGAGCCATGCCAGGTGTGGCTCTGTGATTAGAGTGTCTTCCTGTGCACTGAAGGGTCACAGGTTCAATTCCTGCTCAGACCACATGCCCAGGTTGTGGGTTCGGGATATTTATCTCTCAGATTGATGTCTCTCTCTCTCATCAATGAAACATATCATCGGGGGGGGGGGGGGCAGCTAATCCTCGTCCTTGAGGGCCATTTGAAAAAAACATTTTATTCCGATGAAAAAAAGTTGGCGATTTGAAAACGATTTGGTTATTCTGTGCACCGTCTCAGAACAGGAGACCCTCCCCCGGGCGTAAAAGTCACCATCAGCAAAGGGCCCCTTAAAGAGGCTTTATTTCCAGGGCTGGTTGGTCACCTTAGTCCACTAATAGTGAAGGGACTCGTGCATTTCAGGACAGACAGTAAAAGAACTCTGAAATGTTGCAAAAGTAAGTCAGGTACTATTTTCCATCCAGCCGGCTGGCCAAACTCAAAGAACTGGGTTCCTACAGAGAGTGCTGGTGGGGGCGGAGAACTGACCTCTCCCTAGGTTGTCGCTGGAGGGAGTCTAAATTGGAACCACACCCACAGGAGGCAATTTGCCAAAAGCTAGCCAAATCACAAACACACGTTCCCTTCCTGGGACCTTACCCCCTGAGAGTGCTCACTTGTGTGAATACTACATGGAGCAGTGTTATACAATTGGGGAAAAAACATTTAAAATATCCATAATAGGAGGTTGTGGAATGAATTATGAACATCCGCCATAATGGACCACTGTGCAATAGTAAAACGGGAGATGTTCGGGGGAGCCCCACCGCGACCACTGCCCCCCCCCGCCCCCCGTTTGTTCACCCCTTGTGAGGCCTTCCAGCCGTCAGCAATTGCTTGCTCCAGCTCCTCCCAGGTGACCATGGTGACTTCTTCTCCAGCAGACAACAGAGTCATCTTGCGACTGAAGGGTGCCTGACAGTAACAGATAATAGGCTTAGCACACACACACCTGCTTGAATCCCAGGAAGTTTCAGGGCCGGAATCAAGCTGACAGGGTCCTTCCACAACCCTAGCCCCAAGGAGAAGTCTCTGGGAGTCCTGTCCCATGCGGGCCCTCAAGGAGCACTGGGTGAGGATGGGAAGGATTTCCCTTCAGCCCAGGGGCAGCACCCTGACAGGCAGAGGGCGCTCACGAGATCCTCCCCTGGGAGTCTGGAGGAGCCGAGAGAGGGTTTAGGCTGCAGGCACCCATCCCCCCGCCCCCTCGAGAGCCCTTTCTCACAGAACAGACGGACATTACCAGGAATTCCTCCTGGTCTCTGACTATCTTCTCTAATTCCTCAATCCGCTGCAGGAGTTTCTGGAAGAAGAGTTCAGAGGTGGAGGGTCAAAGCAGGTCCTCCTGTGGCCCCCACGCACAGGGGAGAGGAGGCAAGGTGTGTGGTTTTAGAGCAGCAGAGGGTGGACAGAAGGTGGTAAGCCAAAGGACTGCTGCGTTGTCCCATGGACGGAGAGGTCCTGGTTCGATTCCCAGCCAGGGCACATGCCCCTTTCAGGCTTAATCCCCAGTAGAGGGCGTGCGGGAGGTGGCCAATGGATGTTTCTCTCTCATATCATGTTTCTCTCTCTCTCCTTTACTCTCTCTCTAAAAAAAATCAATAAAAAATATTTTTTAAAAAGGTGGGTAAGCCAACAAGAAGAAGGGAGACAGGGGTGTGGCGGGTTGGTAGTAGGGATACATGGGCCGGGAGCAAATGCTGATGACAGCATGGGAACATGTGGTCCTGGGGTTCACTTTGGACCACTGATGAGACAGTGCCGACTGCAGAACAGCGCTGACCTGCCTCTCAAGGACAAGCGTTACCAGTACTACCGGAGCATCTGAGCTACGTTGTTTAAAAGCACATTGCTGAGCCCTGGGTTCAGTTCCGGTCAAGGGCACATACCTCGGTTGCCTTCCTCCCTGGCCCTGGTCAGGGTCGTGTGGGAGTGTCTCTCTCACATCGATGTTTCTCTCTCCCTCCCTTCCTCCCTCTCTATCTGATAATAAGTAGAAAAATATCCCCGGGTGAGGAATAAAATAAAAGCAAATTGCTGAAACTTATAATGTCTGCAAACCTCCAAAATCTAAGAACCTCAAATCAAATAAAACACCTAAAAACAAAACAAACAAACAAACAAAAAACAGCACATTTTCAAAAGCAAAGCTTCACATAAAAATGAGCCCCGCTGGGGTCTCAAGGCCTAGATTAACCCGGTGGGCAAAATGAGGCCAGTGGGCGGAAGTCCCACCGGGGTCTCGGCCTCCCCTCCTGCCTCTTTTGAGCCTTTCCTTCCCCTCAAGCTCTTCTCAGCCTCTCCTCGTGGGGTCTTCAGCCCTAAGCCCTGTGGAGGCCTCGCAGGTCAGAGGTAGGAGCAGGGGCCTGGCGTGGCCCAATGCGCGTATGGGGAAGGATCTGTACTTCTCGCTCCAAGAAAAAGATCCCAGGGAAAGTGGTGCTATACCTGCAGTGGGGCACCCAAGACTGGGGGCTGACGGGGTGACCCCAGCACTCTCCATCCCAGCCCCACTCTCTTGGACTGAGCTTTATCCCTCAACACCCACCACTGTATTTCTTTATTCTTGTTTAGAGGACATTCAAAGAATTATTCTGAGAAGTCGTCAGCTTCCCTCTGGGTGGCTGCAGGACCCTTGGGTGTCTGATGCGTGGTGGGTGAGCTTCCATGCAAACCGGGTGAGGAAGAGGGCTGCGTGAGAAGGGGTGGGGTCCCCGCCGCCCTCACCGTCGAGTTCAGTTGTAGGAACTCCTGTGACTTTTCCTGGGCTTCCTTCAGGTGTTGCACGTCTTCCACTATGTTCTGGAGCACCTCCATGGCCTGCAAGGTGGAGTCGGGTCACGTGGGCGGGGCGTGCGCAGGGGCCTGGCACCCCCACCATCCCTGCACCTGCCTGCGCCGGCCTCCTCCCGCACCCCTTCCCGGCCCGGGTGGTGGATGGCTGCGGGCACCTTTGGGGCTCAGCTCCAGCGAGCGGGAGAGGCCAGGTGTGCTCTCACCTGGGGGCGATCCTTCCAAAATTTCGTTAACTGCATTCGCGTCTTGTCCGGCGTCAGGGTGGCCACCCCGGGCACTGGCTTGGCCATCTCCGGCTGAGGCTTGGCAGTCTCGAGCGTCGGCTGGGCCATCTCGGGCATCGGCTGGGCCATCCCGAGCTTCGACTTGGCCATCTCGAGCTTCGACTTGGCCATCTCGGGCGTCATCTTGGCCATCTCGGACATCTTCTTGGCCATCTCGGGCGTCATCTTGGCCATCTCGGGCGTCATCTTGGCCATCTCGGACATCTTCTTGGCCATCTCGGGCGTCATCTTGGCCATCTCGGACATCTTCTTGGCCATCTCGGACATCTTCTTGGCCATCTCGGGCGTCGGCTTGGTCATCTCGGGCATCGACTTGGCCATCTCGGGCATCATCTTGATCATCTCGGGCGTCACCCTGGTCATCTCGGGCATGGACTTGGTCATCTCGGGCATCGCCTTGGCCATCTCGGGCATCGCCTTGGCCGTCTTGAGCATGGTCTTCTCCGTAATGGGCGCCGCCATCTCCGCACCGGGCGTGGTCATCTTTGTAATGGGCGTGGCCTCGGCGGTGGGCGTGCCCATCCAGGTCGCGGGTACGCCCACACTGGTGATGGGTGTGGCCGTCTCCCCAGTCACGTCCTGGGCCTTCACCTGCTCCTCTAGCCATTCCGGGGATTCCAAGTCCAGCCCGCCAACCAGGGCAGTGAAGTACTGGACGTGCTGCAGGATGCCCTGCATCTGGCTGTCCATGGTCTTCAACTGACGGCCGAGGTCCTGGACCTGCCCGCCCAGGTCCTTCACCTGGCTCTCCAAGGCCTGGGAGGGCATCCTGGCCACAGAGCTCCTTCGCCTCTCCTTGGGCGCAGCAACCTGCGGGGAGCTGAGCGAGGCCCGCGGGGTCTCAAAGGAGCGGCTCTGCTCGGGCGACAGGGCGTGGAAGTACACCCGGGTGTCCTGCAGGTGGAGGTTCTTGAGCATGGCCACGATGAGCGTGTGGAGGGCGGTGAAGTTGACGGCGCCCACTTCCGGGGTGCCGATGGCCAGGTCGGCCAGCTCCCGGAGAGAGACCTTGGTGGAAGGTGTCGAGGGTGGCATCGTGTGGTCTCAGGAGTGGTCGGCTCCCGTGGCCAGGCGGTTGGTCGTGCCCCCTTCACCGTCCGCTGCGTCTCTGTGGCCTTTCGGGAACCCTCTGGGGTCCCGGGGCACCGCGCCCCGGGGCCCGGCCGCGCTACCTGGGCACCAGTCACCCTCTGGAGCCTGCCTGGGGGTCGGAGAGGAGCTCCTCACTCTGCTCCTGGAGCGCCAGGGTTGGGGCACCGCCGTCTGTCCGCCGGCCAGTGGCGGACGTTTGGAACGGGGGCCGGGGCGACCCCGTCGTGGTGGTCCCCGCGTGCGCGCGCGCGAGGGGCACAGCGCAGGGGCAGGAAGTCCGCGCCTTGCGGGACCTACCCAAACGCACAAGGAGCGCGCTTCCCACGGGGATCTGGGGAGGCCTCTGCTGGCTACACTCCAACGACCACCAATTTTTATTCTCAGTACACGGTCCAGGGAAAGGTGGTGTGGGGCTGTGCCAAGACGTTTTTATTAGGGAACAAGCACATAGGTTGGGGAGCAGGGAGGCTCCGAAGGTTCACCTAGATTCCAGCTGTCCCTTAGCCTAGAAAGGCCCATGATTCATTCACCCTTAAAGGCCACTGAGAACACGAAGACTGACCGGACATCAGGGCAACTATGCTTGTGTCCCTCACCGCTCCATTCCGCGGAGCTGCGGCACCGACCCGAGGGTGCAGTCCTGAGACTTGGCCCCTTGAGAACAGTTCCTGTGTGGTTCTGTGCAATCAGAAGGGGGGTAACTTAGGAAAAGCCACTCACCACCCAGGCGGTGCCAACTGGTCACCAGATGACAGGCTTTCTGCGCCGTGCAGGCCTGATTTCTCTCCAAACACACTCATGTGGTCAGGGCTAGCCCTCCAGCTCCTCCCAAGGCAGGGTCAGCCCGGCTCGGGCGAACTGGGTGCTGGAGGCAAGTGAGGCTTCGCTTCCCCGTACCAGGCTCTTCCAGACGTGTGAACATTCAGGCAAGCGGAGGAAAACCTATGACTGCATCTGTACTGCTTTAACTGCTTTCAAATCCAGATTTTTAGTTTAGTCTGAGCTGATACAATTTAATTGAAACCCTTTTTTGCAGCATTCCGTGGGAACGGAGTTAAACACAGGCTAGAACCTCCATGAGGGTTACACTGAGGACTGTGTCCACCACTGAATTCCCACTGGCACACAGGCCTTCGGGCGGCTGCTCTCTCCAAGAACGGACTTTGTCCCCTCTGGTGCACTCGCTCGCTTACCTTACGCAAACTCAAAGCCAGATCAAAAAGCTAAGCCTTGGGGTCAGGCGCCACCTGGTGCTGGAAGCTGCGGGGCTTTCTCAATTCCAAGGTCAGTGACTTTCCGCAGGGACGTCGCCCCTCTTCACTCACTCGCCCGCTGGAGTCAGCTCGGGTCTCTGGTTCTCTCTGAGCCCGGGGACTCGGTGCCGTGCCAGGCACATATGAAGACTAAATGCCCATGGAAAGGGCATACTCTGATATACTCTCATTCCAATCCCAGGAAATACATTCTAAATAGGTACATTTAAAAATCTCTACTCTTGGGAGACATAGGGGGAAACTATTAAATGAGGTACAAATGGAATTTCAGTTGAAAGGACTTTGGCTTTCAAATCCAAACCTTTGTACTACTGATGCCAGAGGCCCAGGAAGGACTGGCCGACTGCCTGACCCCAGATCAAGAACCAGGTCTCCTGAGGAGCCGATGGGTCTCCTCTACCCGTGCTCAGCATTTCATAATTAAGTTCTTTGCTCAAACTGCCCCTACTTGGCCTATTAAGAGAAGGCAACTTATTTGTGTGCTTGAAAAGCTAACGTGCTCAGTCTTGTTCAGGGAGGAAACTTTTTGAGTCATTAGGAAAGGGATAAATGTGTCAATGAAACGTCCCCGCAGAGAAATACAACAGTACAAAATGTGCAAAAACCTTTATTATTCTTAGCAACTACCAGAACCAATAAGAAATTCCAGGTCATTGCCTAACAGACACTCCTCCTTCCCATTACATTCAGTCCTGACTTGGATTAGACTAAAAGGCATAGACAGTTTATACCATATTTGCAGCAAGGTCTACCTGATAAATGGGGTGGGTCTAAATTAGAATTCTGATGTTGTCATTTCTTTTTTACATTCTTTAAAAAATATGCTTTTATTAAATTTTTAGAGAGGAAGGGAGAGAAAGAGAAACATAGATTGGCTGCCTCTTGCATGCCCCCTACTGGGTACTGAGCCCAAAACTTGGGCATGTGCCCTGACTGGGAATCAACTCAAGACCTCTCTGTCCATAGGACAACGCTCAATCCACTGAGCCACACTAGCCGGGCATGATGATGTCATTTCAAATGTTGGGTAGAAAGGCCAAGTGCGGTCCTAAGTAATGCGATAGACATTTTTCCCATTGATTTTTAGAGAATGGAAGGGAGGAAGGGAGGGGAGAGGAAGGGGGTGGGGGAGAGAGAGAAACATCGATGTGAGAGAGAACATGGAATGGCTGCCTCCCACATATGCCCCAACCAGGCTGGGGACTGAACCTGTCCTTGACCGGGAATCAAACCCGAGACCCTTCGGTGCTAGGGCTGATGCCCTAAACACCGAGCCGCACCAGCCAGGGCAATCAGTTCTATTTTTTACAAATTTAGATCTTAACTATATAACTCAACAAATCTTTAACCTCAATGCGTAGGAAGGGGATAGGACCTGCAGAGAGACTTCCAGCGGGACTGGGACCAGCCATGGACCCCACCACCCTTACTATATATCCCTTGTCTTCTGCAGCGTCTGGACCAAAGTTAGTCACCAGGAGGCACGACAGTGGGTGACAGTGCAAGGGCATGAACAGACCAGCCAGACAAGAGGTTCTTTTATTTGCAATCGAGTAACAACACAGCCAGCCAGAAAGGATGTAACTCCCTAACCTGGTGTCCTTGCTGGGAGCAGCACTACAAATGTCTCACTGTTCAGTGGCAGCCGGCACAGCAGTTTCTCAGAGAACAGTGTCATTCTCTATGAAAGACTTGGGTGAGGCTGACTGAGGAGAGGACAACTGGAACGAACAGCCGGGGCACTCGGCTTCCCGCCCAAGCTCAACATCGACACCCATTTCCCTGTGGCTCAAACAACTCAGTGAACATTACAGTTAAAACTTCATCTGCCTTTAACTCCTTTTCAACCCCAAAAGTGCCTGCAACCTTTCCTTACCCAACAGGACGATGAGGCCCTTTACCCATTAGCTCTGTCTCCCACTCGCTACCTTATGCCTCCGACCTACCAACCCTGAGGAGAGGCTGTGTGACCCGCAAGGGAACTGTACATATCACTGACGGCACCGTGTTCCTTAGGAGTTCCTGGGTCCGGGCGACCTGGAGAGCTAGTCATCCACAGTGATGTTTCGGAACAGGTACGCCATGGACTCCCCGTTGTGGATTCTCCGAATAGCTTCAGAGAGGATCAGACTGATATCCACGGTCTTGATCTTGGGACACTGCAGCTTCTGCACCTCGTGAGGGACAGTATTGGTCACCACCACCTAGCCACAGCAGCAGGGAAGACAAACACACGTGATGTGGTCACTCAGAAAAGTGCATCCCACACTTAGTACCCAGAGCCCAGTCCCAACTGCAAACCCTTACTCCGCCGAGGGTAGTTTTCACAAACTGAACGTAACCAGCTTCCACAGGGGGAATTAGTGGTTCAGAACATAAGCTTCTGAACGCCGAGGTCTTCGTGTGCAGACTGAGGCAGCCCCGGCACTGCCCGAGAGAGAGATGCTACTTAGTATCAAACTGTACCGAACGCAAATTATGCTGAGGTACATGAAACCAGTCCTCACGAACATGGACATACACGCCTAAGTATCTGTGTGCCCCAACAAACGCCAGCCATCACAGGTCCCCCGGAGAGGGGGCGAGCGAAGGCCCCAAGCCCTCGAAAGCAGACGGACCTCGTCGATGGAGGACTCCTCGATCAGGCGGGGGGCCTCTGCAGACAGGATGCCGTGAGTGGCCATGACGTAGATCTTGTAAGCGCCTCTCTCCTTCAGGATCTCCGCGGCAGCCACGAAACTTTCCACGTCGTCAATGATGTCATCCTGAGAAGAGACCAGTTAGTGCTGAGCGACCTGCCCCACCCCATCTGTGAACACCACGCCCTGCCCTTCTCTGCACTGCTTCAGAGGGCGTCAAATAAAAATCAGAGCTCTCCACCTGGGTCAAAGGTCAGACATCCAGCCGCGCAAAGAGCTGTGTGCACTGTGCTGTGTGGCTGTCGGCGCAAAGGCAGAAAGCCTGCGCTCACCTGACGGTCACTGCTAGAGCTGGCGCCTGCCAAGGCTCCTCCCTACTTCAAGCTTCAGATTAACCCTACGCAGCCAGCGTGCCATGGACTTTTTCTTTTTAAATTTTTATCTTCTTTATTGATTTTAGAGAGAGAGGGAGAGAGAGAGAAACATCGATGAGAGAGAACATCGACTGGCCGCCTCCTGCATGCCCCCACTGGGGATCGGGCCCACAACCTGGGCATGTGCCCTGACCGGGACTTGAACCGCGGCTTCTTGGTGCAGGGTCGACGCTCAGCCACTGAGCCACACCGGCCAGGCTCCATTTACTTTTTCTAAGAGAAAGTTACATGAGAGGTACATAGAAATAAAGTGAGCCATGACGAAGGATGGTCCTCGGGCCCAGGAAAGGCATTTAGAGCTGGGAGCCATCATGTTCAAGTCGAAGAATGAGACCCTTGTTTTCGTTAGTAAAAAAACCGCTCATCTTTGGTTCACTTCATGGCCCTACAAGCTCACAGCTGAGTAAGTCCGCTGGTCCGATGGGACCTACAGCCCTTAGACAAAGGTTACCTATGGGGCTGAATTTTCTCATGGGGATTACCATGTTCTTTTTGTACCTATAGGTTATAGTAATTCCTACTCATCTACATCGAAACCTCTCCTCGTTCTGAGGAGTCTGAGTGAGAAAAGACAGGCGGATCCATTGAAATCTCACTGTTACTGGAAATACAACCCAAAGGGACACCCTACTGAGAGCCAGAGGCCACCTCTGCACGTGAGGAAGACACAACCGTACCACTATGATCGCGATGCTCCCGCCAACGTCTCCGACTACGGTTATTGGTGGCTTCTCTTTGGCCATCATCACTAGCAAAACAAAACAAATGACAAGACCCAGTTAGTCATGCATCACTAAGTAAATGGGGTCACAACCAACCTCACCTTCTGGAAGTGGTGGCAAAACCACGGAAGGAAGGAAGGAAGGAAGGGAGGGAGGGAAGGAGGGAGAAAGGGAGGGAGGGAGGGAGGAAGTAACGGAGGGAGGGAGGGAGGAAGTAACGGAGGGAGGGAGGGAGAGAGGGAGGGAGGGAGAGAGGGAGGAGGGAGGGAGGGAGGGAGGAAAACAAAGCAGCCGATTGCTCTCCCAAGAGCTGGGGTCTCTCAGAAATGCTGTCTGGAGCATGCTGTCCAACAGAAACAAATGGTGAGAAATGATTTTACGTTTCCTAGTAGCCACATTATGAAGCAGAAACACATAGGTGAAATTAATTGATTTTAATTTACCCAATATAGCCAGTATATTGTTTCAATGTGTAAGTACACGCACACTTATTAGAAATGTTTTGCATGGCTTCCATGCCCAGCCTTCGGTGTTTGGCGTGCATGTCACACACACAGCACTTCTCAGCGGAGACTAGACACGTTTCAGGATCATCACAACAGTCACGCGTGGCGAGCAGCCGGCAGTCTGTAGCTAGCTGGAGGCTAAGAGGGAGCAGCAGAGAGGAAGCGGTCACCGACGCAGACCTGCACTGCCCACCACTCACCGTGGGAATGCCCACTCGAGACTGGTAAGGAAGGAAAACGAACGCCACTCTCGGAGAACCGGCCAGGGAAAGGCTGCTGGGCGAAGAGCGGGCGTTCGCCTCCTCCCAGTGCCCCCCTGGACAGTGTGCCCCGTTCACAGACAGCTACACTACTGCCATAAGCAGACCCCCCGGAAAAGGCACCTGCGAACAGTAACTACTGTTCATCATCGCTTCCGGACTAATCAGTCCTCCAAGTGGAGGCTTCTTACCTCACTACAAGATTTCTGTCTGGGAAGGCCCATCAGGGTACAAAACAAACTACAAGGCAGAGAAGAGAAACAAGAACCCACCCTCAGGAGGAAGTTAGCAAACCGACAAGAAAACAAGTATTTCAGGACAGGCTAAGTACTCTATGTTTTCAGAAAGCTTTTTATTATTCTGAAATATTTATTAAGCTACTAGCTCGAGAGGGGGAAGAGAATAAAATTCAGGGTGATTATATCGTTTAGTAACTATCAGCCGTTTGGTAATGAACAGTCCAGTTTAGCCGATTCGTACCGACGGGCACCGTAACCCAAAGACCAGGCTTCGTTTGTCTACCAGCCAGTAAGCCGGGCTGACACTCAGCACTACTTTCCTGGCAAATTTCAACAGGCATTTCCTGCTTTCCTGTCCCAGGATCAAGGGCAAGTTCTTGGATTTGGACCGTCATAAAGGCTCTGTTTATAATATCACCCAGGGGAAGAAAATAAGTCACCAACATTAGGAAAAGCCTCCTCAAATTCTGTCTTTAAAGTAAACCACGTAGGTAGGTGGTTCTGTTGACCTACCGCTTCTTAAAGAGATGTGGTCCCTTTTCTTGACCATTTTTCTCTGTAAAAAAAGAAAAAGATTGCCAGCCAGTACCCTCATCAAAGATCAACAGAAATTCAGCTCGTCTGACACAACACAAGTCGCAGGGCTCCTGCTCGCGTCTCCCTGGCCCTGCCTCTCCCAAAGCACGTGTCGGTTTGAAATGAGAAGCAGGCTCAGCGAGCATCGAGGTGGACAACAGCTTCCGCAAAGCCAGCCTTGCTGCCCAGGTGCCCATTCCCTGCTCCTAACTGGCTAAAACTGAACACATAATTTGGTAGCTACCAAAAACAGAGACAGACTTTATCACAGGGTCAACAGACAAAATACTACCCGACAGGCTAAAAAAATGCCAAATTTTTTTCTAATAGCTTGCCCAGAAAACAAAATACCAAACATTTAAAAAATTTCAGTGAAAGTAATGTACTGAAGGTCAGGGATAAAGGGTGCTTCCACTATCCTAGGTTTAAGATTCTGCTCTCCTCCACGTTGTCAAACAAAACCCAAACTGTTTAAGAATAAAATGAACTGTGCACCATTGCTGTGGCCAGAAATCACTGTTAAAACTACATCGACTTACTGCAGGAAAAATATCGATTTAACAAGTGATTTCCAATGTTCTTATGAAAAAAGTAGAAAATTGTCTTTAGCTTGTAATATTAGCCTTTTCTAAGTAAAATAATGCTGCATTTGTAACCTTCTTTTGATTTTACCACAGACAGACACACATACATACTTTTCACTCTTTCCCTAGAGTCATTTACCCAAACCTTTCTCTCCTAAAATAAAGAACAAAAATGGACTATGGAGAATTATTCATTCCTTATCCATTTTAATCTTGGTCTATTTCTAGTTTCAATGGAATGTCAAACTTTATTGTCAGACTGACATCAGAAAGAGATGAGCAGCCCGGCCGGTGTGGCTCAGTGGTTGAGCGTTAACCCTACACCAAGAGGCTGCTGGTTCGATTCCCAGTCAGGGCACATGCCCAGGTTGTAGGCCCGATCCCCAATGGGGGGTGTGTAGAAGGCGACCAATCGATGTTCTCTCTATCAATATTTGTATTTCTCTCTCCCTCTCCCTTCCTCTCTCTCTCTCAAATCAATAAAGAAAAAAAAATTAAAAATAAAAGAGATGGGCAATAAAATAAAGTCTCCAGTAGAACTTGAACTGAAATGATTCTCGAGCTCATAATTCTATAGGCAAACAAGTCAAAGTTCACATTTAACAGATGCTCAAAGAGAGCCAATGTCTATTTCACTTCAGAGATGAAAAACACTCTTCACTTATAAAATTAACAAGCCAGGAAAATCCAGGACTTCCGGTCCAGATGGCAGGTAGGTAAACACAGTATCACGTCCTCCCACAACCACATCAAAGTTACAACTACAGAACAACCATCATTCAAAACTGGCTGAAATCGAGCTAAATGGAAGTCCTACAACTACGGAATTAAAGAAGCCACATGGAGACTGGTAGGAGGGGTGGAGGCGGAGGGGTGGAGGCGGAGGGGTGGAGGCGGAGGGGTGGAGGCGGAGGGGTGGAGGCGGAGGGGTGGAGGCGGAGGGGTGGAGGCGGAGGGGCAGCCCCACACCCACGTGTGGCGGATAAAAATCAAGAGGACAGCCCTGGCTGGTTTGCCTCAGCGGTTAGAGCATCGGCCTGCGGTCCCGAGAGTCCTGGGTTCGGTTCCCGCTAAGGGCACGTACCTCAGTTGCAGTTTGTCCCCGGCCCTGGTTGGTCGTGCAGGTGGCAACCACTCGATGTGTCCTTTTCACATCGATGTTTCTCTCTCTCTCTTCCTCTCTCTCCCTTCCACTCTACCTGAACAAAAAATGGAAAAATGTCCTCAGGTGAGGATTAAATAAATAAATAAAATGCAAGATCCTTTACAAATATCTTTAAAAAAAAATCAGGAGGACACCTCGGCTGGGAAGGTCCTCCCTGAGGACTGAGGGGTCCCCGTCCCACACCAGGTGCCCCGCTCAGGGTTCCAGTGCCAGGAAGAGAATCCCCATCACTTCTGGCTGGAAAAACCAGCAGGAACTGAGGCTCAAGGAGGCTGAGGCGACTGGAGGCCCAGGCAGCTCCTTAAAGGGCCCGCACACGGACTTATCGGACTCTCTCCCTCTAAGCTTGGAGGGGAGGCAGCTCGAGGGGCGCCAGAGACATACAGGGAAGAACTGAGCTGTTTGGCCCTGGAGTGAGGGCTGGAGAGGGGACTTTCTCCAGAACAAACATGCTGTCAGAGGCCTTTGTTCCTTTGGTGAGCCCTTCCCTGGGGCGGCAGACAGCTGTCATATCTGGGACTCCAGCAACCTGGCTCACACTGGTGGCCCTGCCCTGGCGATTCCCTGAGGCCCCGCCCCACCCAACTTTAAGGTCCATCTAAGCTGTTGCCAGTTGCTTTACCATAGGATTGGCCTGTCTTGGATCCTGCTTCAGGTTTTCCTAAATTCTTTCAAACGAGCTGCATCTGGTCTCAGCTAGCCCCATACCCCTCATTAAGTAATACACAGAAACAAACACAGGGAGGCAGCCAAAATGAGGAGACAAAGAAACAGGTCCCAAATGAAAGAACAGAAAAAATCTCTAGGAAAAGAACTAAGCGAAATGGAGATAAACAACCTAACAGATGCTGAGTTCAAAATACTGCTTATAAGGATGCTCAATGAGCTTAGTGAGAACCTCAGTGAACTTAGTGAGGGCCTCAAGAGCATAAAAAGGACCAGTCAGAAATGAAAGAGGCACAGTCAGAAATGAAGGAGGCACTGCCCTGGCCAGTTTGGCTCAGCGGTTGGAGCGTCGGCCTGTGGTACAGAGAGACCCAGGTTCGGTTCCCGCTAGGGGCATGTACCTCGGTTGCAGTTTGTCCCCAGCCCTGGTTGGTTGTGCGGGTGGCAGCCCCTCGATGCGTCCCTTCACATCGATGTTTCTCTCTCTCTCTCTTCCTCTCTCTCCCTCCCGCTCTATCTGAACAAAAAAAAGAAAAAAGAAATGAAGGAGGCACTAATGAAGGAGGAAATAAAAAGTAATTTACACAGATTCAATAGTAGAGTAGGTAAAGCCAAGAAGCAAACCATCGATTTGGAATCTAAGGAAGCAAAAAACACCCAATCAGAACAGTAAAAAGAAAAAAAGAATACAAAAAAATGAGGATAGTGTAAGGAGCCTCTGGGACAACTTCAAGCGTGCCAACATTCGCATCTTGGGGGTGCCAGAAGGAGAAGAGAGAGAACAAGAAATCGAAAACCTGTTTGAAACAATAATGGCAGAAAACTTCCCTAACTTGGTGAAGGAAACAGACATACAAGTCCAGGAAGCACAGAGAGTCTCAAACAAGATGAACCCCAAGAGGCCCACACCAAGACCCATCATCATCAAAATGCAAAAGGTTCAAGACAAAGAAAGAATCTTAAAAGCAGCAAGAGAAAAGCAGTTCGTTACCTACAAGGGAGTTCCCAAAAGACTGTCAGCTGATTTCTCAAAAGAAACTTTGCAGGCCAGAAGGGAGTGGCAAGAAATATTCAGAGTGATGAAAAGCAAGAACCTACAACCAAGATTATTCTATCCTGCAAAGCTATCATTTAGAATTGATGGCCATATAAAGAGTTTCCCAGACAAGAAAAAGCTAAAGGAGTTCATCACCATCAAACTGTTATTATATGAAATGTTGAAGGGTCTTTTTGAAGAAAAAGATAAAATATATGAACAAACAAAATGGCAATGAGTACATATCTATCAACAATGGAATCTACAAACAAAATGAACAGGTAGAACAGAAACATTCTCATAGATACAGAGAACATTTTGTTGGTTGCCAGATAGGAGGGGAGTTGGGGGAATGGGTGAAAAAGATGAAGGGATTAAGATGTATACAAATTGGTTGCTAGACTGACAAACCTTAAAGAGAAGGGGGTTGGGGGGTGGGAAGAAATACACCAAAGAACTTATATGCGTAACCAATGGACACAGACACCAGTGTGGGAAAAGGCAGGAGGGGGCGGGAGTGGGGAGGAAGGGGTCAGTGGGGGAAAAATGAGGAACATCTGTAATACATTCAACAATAAAGATAAAAAAGAAAAGATAAAAAAAAGGAAAATCCAGCCAGGAAAGGTGACTTCCTCTCATTTCTGTGACCCCAACAATGTTCAGCACTGTGGCGCACAGAGCAGCGTTTGGGGGAACCACTGCCACCGTCCTTCCGCGTCCACCAGCTGCCCTTGCCATCAGAGAGGGATCGAGTCTACCTTACCAAACGAAACACGTATACAACTCTGCTTTTAACAGACTGCTCTAAAAGAGGTCTGTTCACCGCAGCACGTCTGACACTTGGGACGGGACAGCTGTCTGTTTCGCTGGAAGATGTTCAGCAGCAGCTCCGGCCCCTGGATGCTCGCTGGATGCCAGTGGCATCCCACCTCCGCTTGGTCCAGACAACCAGAAATGTCTCCAGACCCTGCCAAAATCCTCTGGGGGTCAAAGTCACCCTCGTGGTGGGGGTGCAGGGCGCTGTGGCTGCTCCAGAACCCGGGCTCCAGGAAGATAAAACAGTCCATCTTCCTAGAAGATGCGAAGACTCCGAGGGCGAGTATTAGCTTTCCTTTGGCCTTTTCCTAATACTCTAATATCTTCACCTTCATCACTACTAAATGAACTATTGAAACATAAGTAATAAATATATAAAGTATATTTAATTTGGAAGGTTCAATTACACATACAAGAAGTAACATTTTCAGAATGTTCCTGACTAAATCTATAAAGGGAATCACAGAGCTCTGGCCAGTTTGGCTCAGTGGAGCATCAGCCCTCAGACCAAAGAGTCTGGGTTCGATTCCGGTCAAGGGCATGTACCTCAGTTGCAGTTCGGTCCCTGGCCCTGGTCGGGGTCATGCAGGAGGCAGTCAATCAACGTGTCTTTTTCTCCCATCAATGTTTCGCGCTCTCTCTCTCCCTCCCTCCCTCCTTCCTACTCTGTCAGAAAAATCAATGGGAAAATATCCTTGGGTGAGGATTAAAAATAAAAAAGGGAATCACAGAAAATGATCCTACGGCAACTATAAAAGTTATAATGGAAGCACAATAACATGTAAGAAGGAACCTGATACTTTACAAGTTTCCAGATACACAGGATGACTGTAGGGAAAACACTGTTACAATCATAAGTAACAGCGACATTCTCAGAATAGAGAATCTGACATATAAAATACGGCCACAAGCTAGCAATATCTATCAAAACAACCTCTGACCCAATAATTTTATTTCTTGGAATTTATCCTATAAATACATTGTCACTTATGAAAGAACATAAGACAAGGCTAGTCATAGATAGCAGAGTGTGGTGACTGAGTGTACACCCTGAAGCCAAATCCTAATTTCTAAATACCCTTTTACATTAAAGAAATCGGGGCTGATTTCAGTGCCAAGAAAGTACAAGGGAATATCTAGTTGTACCAGAGTAAGAAAGTTAACAAAAATGATAGGAGCACATAAAGAGAACACAGGAAGCAGCTTAAAGGAGTTCTCTTTGGCCACGTCTAAGACGATTTGAGCATTAACATAAATAGTAGAGCCCGGCGGGTGGCACAGTGGACAGAGCACTGTCCCCTGGACTGAGAGCTCCTGGTTTGACTCCGTTGGGGCACATGCCCGGGTTGCCGGCTCGATCCCCAGTAAGAGGTGTGCAGGAGGCAACTGACAGCTGTTTCTCACATGAATGTTTCTATCTGTCTCTATAAACATCAATAAAAACATATTTAAAATAAATAAGCAGTAGAAATGGATTAGATTATAACATACTTAATAAAATAAGATTCTAAAAATCCATACTGATACAAATGAATAAATCAGGAGAGAAGAAAGGGAATTAGAAAAATCACCATTTGACAATAATCATAGTAATTGATTCAACCTAGTCATGAGGAAACAACATGCCCCAATTAAGAAATATTCTACAAAATTACTGGCCTGTACTCTTCAAAAGAAGCAAGGTCGCAGAGACAAAGAACAGAGGAGCGCTCCGAGCTAACTGAGTGAGGAGTGACAACTGAGCACACCGTGTTCGCTTATATTGGGTTCTAGTCCAGGAGAACTATTTTCTTTTGCTTTAAAGGACATTGTTGGACAACTGGTAAAATCTGAATGAGGCCTGAAGATTAGACAACAGCATTATAACAATGTTAGTTTCCAGAGCCTGATCATCATAAACAATTAGATGTTTACACCTTAGATGGGAGCCTGTCTGAAAAACCTGAGGCGTAACCAGTCCACTATTTTCCACCTATTAATACCTGTATGTTTCTGAGGCATGGCCAATAGATACACAGTTTTTAAAAGAAATAATTTCCTTCCTCTAAAAAAAGCATAATGTATCTTTCAGTATAGAATGCTGGTTACTCCCCCTCAAAAACTCCATGGAAATCAATCGCCTCCACACCGTCGGATTAATCACAGTGCATCAGGTCTGCAGCAAGGAGCTTGTCACTCACAGTGCTCGGGCGGCCTGGTCACCAACCGTGGTATCTGATCGATGACGGCCACCACCCATCAGACCAAAATATGAACGCTTAAGACGTCCCAACATCGCACATACAACATTTCTAGTAAAGCTGAAATTCTTTCACACTCTGAATGCTCAGTCTTCCAGTAAAGTGCGATTGTCTTACATAGTCTGCAAATGTGTTCAGCACAATCTCCTTTTACAAAAGGCGAAATCAATACAAATGATCCAGTTTTAAAAATACCAAGACAGCCCTGGCCAGTTTGGCTCAGTGGTTAGAGCGTCGGCCTGTGGTCCAGAGACACCCGGGTTCGGTTCCCGTTAAGGGCATGGACCTCGGTTGCAGTTTGTCCCCGGCCCTGGTTGGTCGTGCGGGTGGCAGCCACTCGATGTGTCCCTTTCACATCGATATATCTCTCTCCTTTCCTCTCTCTCCCTTCCACTCTATCTGAGCAAAAAAGTGGAAAAATGTCCTCGAGTGAGGATTAAAAAAAAAAAAAAAAAAAAAACCAAGACAGCCCTGGCTGGTTTGGCTCAGCAGTTAGAGCATCGGCCTGCGGACCCATGAGTTGCAGGGTCAAGACCTGTCAAGGGCACATACCTCGGTTGCAGTTCATCCCCAGCCCTGGTCGGGTCGTGTGGGAGGCAACCAGTCAATGTGTTTCTCTCACATAGATGTCTCTCTTTCTCTCTCTTCCCCTTCCTCCCTCCTTCCCACTCTATCTGATGATAAACAGAAAAATATCCTCGGGTGAGAATTAAAAACAAAAACAAAAACCAAGACAGCCCACATCCACGTAAGTATTAAGTCCTACCCATTCTTATTGTTGAAGACTTTCTTCAGTTTACAAATAAAGTAAAAAACAGAGTTCCTCTTACACGGCAACTCCAGGCCGGGATGGACAGTGGCATTTTTGACCGTCGGGGGAGAGTGGCGGCCGTCATCCATGTCCAGCTCCGTACACTGGGCCTCCCCATGGATTACGGCCAAGCCCAGGCGCAGTCTCTCAGCATATGACTGGGCCCTGGAGAAAGACGAGGAGAAACGGTAAAATTCATGGGAAGAAAACTCAAACATCACCATTCCATCATTTTATTAATCGTAAAATGAAAATACCATTCAACCTCTTAGGGGCACAGAAAGGAATTATTTATACAAAACAGAATGTGGGACCCAGGCCAGAACGTAAATGTCTGTGAGGCATTTGGGCTGACATGTGGGCTAGTATCTGATTCTAGATCATTTTGGTTCTGCCCTTTGTCCAATGTTCTAACACTGAACTTCAGAAGAAAGAACTTTGTAGAAAAAGGTCTCTTAAAAACCACTGCCTGGCCGAGCTAGTGTGGTTCAGAGGTTGAGCGTCGACCCTGCACCAAGAGGTGGCCGGTTCAGTTCCCGGTCAGGACACATGTCCAGGTTGTGGGCCCGATCCCCAGCAGGGGACATGCAGGAGGCGGCCAGTCGATGTTCTCTCCCACCGATGTTTCTCTCTCTCTCTCTCCCTCTCTAAAATCAATACCAAAAAAAACCAAAAACACCCACTGCCTGGAAAGTGCTCATAGCCCTCTGTCTTCCTCTTCCTGAGAACCTGAAGGAGGAAAAACTCCCTCTGCAAAGATGTGGAGAGAGCTCGGGCCAACGAGCTTTCAGAGGCCACATTGTGACAGACCCCGGCACTAAAACAGCTCACTCTGACTTCAGAAAGCACCTGCAAGGGGTTTTTCTAAGTGTCTGGATTATTTACCTTTTTGCAGCATCAGGAGACTTAGCTACAATGACTGCATTTCTGTAATTCGGAATCTAGATTTGGAGGAAAAATAAGAAAATACTGAAAAGTTATAGCTGGATGCTAGAATCTCACTTTTTCCTCTTATAACAATGATCCATACCAGCAATCATATACGCTAGGGTTTCATTCACACATTTTAGAGTTTTAACACTTATCAATTAACATCATTGCAAAAGTATTGTATTTTTTGTTTGTTTGTTTGTTTTATCCTCACCCGAGGATATTTTTCCATTTTTTGTACAGATAGAGTGGGAGGGAGAGAGAGGAAGGGAGAGAGAGAGAAACATCGAAGTGAAGGGACACATCAAGTGGCTGCCACCCGCACGACCAACCAGGGCCGGGGACAAACTGCAACCGAAGTACGTGCCCTTAGCGGGAACCGAACCCGGGTCTCTCCGGACCGCAGGCTGACGCTCTAACCGCTGAGCCAAACTGGCCAGGGCGCAAAAGTATTGTTATATCAAGAAGTAATATGTAATTAACTCTTAAAACCTTCATTTAAGAAAACAAAAGCAAACTGCTAAAGCTACTTAGAAGGAAACCCACTGTTAATGTCTCTGAAATATACGGCCCTCCATGCTAACTGCTGGCCCTATCTGGCTGCCTCAGGCATCAAGACCTAAGGGAAAGATCATTGGATGTGCCTTTCATTTCAACGTTCAATCTGACACGAGAGAGAAACTACACAGGGTCTCGTTGTAGGGCAGGGGTGTCTGCTGGGGGCTCCTCACTTCTTCCTGGATATACTGAAGCAGGAAAGGTGAGGCTCTAAGGTTGTCCACCGGAAAGCTGAAAAAGCCTTGAATTTCCTTTTGATGAAGATCCATAGTGATTATGTGAGTTAAACCTGAAATTTTAAAACAAAAAATTAAAAGTTCACCCCTGCACATTAATGACACAAACTAGATGCCCAACTCCGTTTTCCTAACAAAGACTGAAGGCCAAGGGTACTGTTAACAAACCGTTAGTTATAGATTTTGTCGGTAACCTTAACAAAACTAACAAACTAAAGAACGAGCCCAAGCTAAGGCAAAGGAACCTCTAAGCTTCCACACGGAAGTTGACAAGGGTGCTCTCCTCTGCTATTATTATTAGCTTGGTCCTCAAAATCGAGAAAAGGAAATTCAGGTAGAAACAGAAATATGAAGATGGAATTAATAAATACTGCAGCAAAATTTGATGTAAAAAAAAAACAAAACAAAACAGTAAGGCCTTGCTTAAAGAATTTAGAAAGAAATGTTAAAAGACCATGGCTAAGGCGGAAGGAATAAGAAAGCAAAAACAAAGTAATGTATATATAAGAAAAAAGAATGTCATAGAATACAAACATAAGATACTAAAGTCTGGAATAATTGCTACCTGTCATAAAAGAATGGGTCATGAAATAGTCTTATAGAAAAGCAATGGAGACAGACTGATGCAATCAGTAGGGCTAAACAAAAAGAGACATGTTTCTGGGGACTCAAACATGTGAGAGTTCTAAACAAACATCGGGTAAATGAAATTCCAGTAACTGTGAAGTGTTATTACATTTGATTCAGAGGCCAGCAAGGGCGTCACTGCTACAAAAACACAGAGTGACAGCAATGAAAATGAGCTGCCACACAGAAAGACAGTCAGGAGGGAGACCAAAGAGAGTATAAGCTAAGTAGAAAAAGTAAAATCCAGTTTTAATATTATGTACCTAAATAGGATTTAGTTAACAAAGGTAAGTACACAGTCTAGACCGGAAGCTCAAACGATCACACACCAGCGCCAAGACTGGCAGTTAAAATGTAATGATGATGAGATGAAATGTACAGGAAGTAGACAGAACGCTGACAAAGGCCAAGGTTAGAGAAGAATGAAAACAGGGGAGCAGATGATGTCACTCTAAAGTAAGACAGAGCAGAAAAGGGTAAGAATTGTACCTAAGCTCACCTATCCCTAACCAGCACTATGCAAAAGGAAACAAGAAAAAGTAATTAGTAAATGACACACCGAGAACTAGGTCCCCAACCAGACCGATGAAGTAAGGCCTAATCTCAGGTGGGGCAGAGTCCTGACTGCGTGGGCCCCAGGTCCCGGTCCACACTCACCCGCTTTCGCCAGCATAGACGCCAGGAGCTTGCACACAATGGACCCCCTCTTCCTCATCTTGCTTTGCTTGCTGTAGGGGAAATAAGGGATGACTCCGATGATATTCCTGGCACAGGCCGTCTTCAGTGCGTAGGCCATGATCAGTAGCTCCATCACAGCTGTATTCACATCTCTGAAACAGGGACAGTTTGCATTTGGGGATTAATTTCATTTATTAACCCCTAGAAAATATCTCAACTACAGCAATTTATTTATTTTTTCTTTATTGATTTTAGAGAGGAAGGGAGAGGCAGATAAAAACATCGATGAGAGAGAACATCAACTAGCCACCTCCTGCATGCCCCCCACTGGGGATTTGGCCCACAACCTGGGCATGTGCCCTGACTGGGAAGTGAACTGGCGACCTCCTGGTGCATGGGTCAATGATCAACCACTGAACCACACCACCCAGGCTCAACTACAGCAATTAAACATGAGCTGCCAAAATGGGTGTGGCAGGCATTTTACCACCACACTAGCTGATGCTGGCACTGCATGAGTACACAAGAAAGTGTGTTAACTCTTCTTTTTAGCTGTGTAAACTCGGTTTCATCTGTGGTTACTTAAGTCCACAGCCTGGTTGTCCACTCTCCCCTCTGCCTGGATCTTCTGTCAGTGACACAGTCGCTGCAGTGGCACATGAGGCCGACTTCCACTGCTGGTGACAGTGAACCAGCACCTTCTGGTGCCCTCCGGGAGGTGCAGACTTAGGGAGCAGGCCAGCCCCTGGGGTCCTGTGAACACCAAGGGAAACCCACCCGCCCTTCTAGTTACCTGTTTATCAAAACCGAATGAGTTTTACAATTTCTTTTATGCATTTGAAATTAAGAAGGGAAGATTACCAGAAAGGATTTAGTATCTTTCTTCTTCTGGAAGTGAAGGGTAGGGTAGAAAATGGGGAGGGTCTTGGAACTTAATTTCAAAAAATTGCCCCATCCTCTTTCCTTGAGATATACAGATTCCTATCAAAGATTACCCAGATAAACACAGAAGGAAATAGAAATCTGGAAGATATTCAAAGAAAAGGCCATTCCCAATGTTAAGGAATGAGAATTGCTACCCTTGGCCAAGGCTGATCAAGCCTAAGGTGGGCTCTGCCCTTAAGAAAGACACCCCCTCTTCTGGCCTTCCTTCCCAGACAAACAGGACCTTTCCAGTTATCACTTCCTTTCCCTGAAGTAAATGGAAGCATTTTACTCCCTCATGCTATTGATGTAAGAAACGTCCAAAACTATAGAATTTTTTAAGAGTTTATTTGAGCCAATCTGACGACAGTTGCCGGGAAGTAAGATCTCAAATGCTCTGAAGGATAATGGTTCTGCAGCTTCTTTTGTGCATTTGGAACTGAGCAGGGAAGTGAGAAGATGACAGGGGGTGGGCGACAGCAAGGCGGGCGTCGGATTACAGGACGGTAACTAGACTATGAGGGTGGTTTCGGCCTAGAGAGGTACTACTCCTGACATCTCCAAGGTGGTGTGTTAACCTACATGCACAAGAACAATGCACAGGACTAGCTTAAAAATTTCACCAGAGAGCCCTGGCCAGTTTGGCTCAGTGGTGAGAGTTGGCCCACAGACCAACAGTTGCAGGTTCGATTCCAGTCAAGGGCATGTACTTGGATTGTGGTTCAGTCCCCAGCCCTGGTCGGATCATTAGGGAGGCAAATAGTCAACGTGCCTCTCTCACATCAATGTTTCTCTCTCTCTCTCCCCCCCCCCCTCCTTCCCACTCTGTCTGACAATAAATGGAAAAATAACCTTGGGTGAAGATTAAAAAAAAAAAGACAGAGAAGAACATTAAAAAAAAAAATTCAGCCCTGCCAGTGCTGTGCAGTGGTTAAGCATCAACCCATGCACCAAGATGTTACTGGTTCGATTCCTGGTCAGGTTGTGGGTCCAATCCCCAGTGGGGGGCATGCAGGAGGCAGCCAATCGATGTTCTCTAGCATCAATGTTTCTATTTCTCTCTCCCTCTCCCTTCCTCTCTAAAGATCAATGAAGCAAAAAAAAAAAAAAAATCCGTTTAAAAAAATTCACTAGCTCAGCGGTTAGAGCATTGGCCTGCGGTCCAGAGAGACCCGGGTTCAGTTCCCGCTAAGGGCATGTACCTTGGTTGCAGTTTGTCCCCGGCCCTGGATGGGTCGTGTGGGTGGCAGCCACTTGATGTGTCCCTTTCACGTCGATGTTTCTCTCTCTCTCTCCCTCTCCCTCTATCTGAACAAAAAATAAAAAAATGTCCTTGGGTGAGGATAAAAAAAAAAAATCACTAAAGAAGCTATAGAGGGCATTACTACCCACCATGACCTGCTCAGTTAGGAATTTATGATTTATTATAGCACCCCTTTTTTTGTCCACAATACTCTCAAAGTAATAATATCCCAAATCAGGCACCAAAAGGTCAGAGGACACATGATCTTTTGTTATATCTGGATAAAATATTTATCAAACACTCAAGGTACTAAGGAATTCATAACACTTGGTTAATTTTAGTTCATTCATCCATTCAACAAATACTCATTAAGCAACCTGAGTCAAACACTGTACTCGGTGGGGGAGAGAAAATGGTAAACAAGGCTGACCACATCTCGTGGGAATGCCAGACCACACTGGGTCACTCTGCTGGTAATCATTTGTCCCAAGAAGGAGCACAACGAACTCACCTGAGAATGGTCTACCCGCCCCGGCCAGGTGTCTTAGTGGGTTGGAGTGTAGTCCCGTACACCAAAAAGGTTTGGGGTTCGATTCCGGGTCAGGGAGTGTATGGAAGGCCATCGACAGGTGTTTCTCTCTCACATTGATGTTTCCCTCTCTCCCTCCCTTCCACTCTCTCTAAAATCAATGAACATATCCTCAGGTGAGGATTAAAAAATAAAAAATGTGCCCATCAGTGTGGCTCAGTGGATCAAACATTGTCCCATGGCTGAGAGGTCCTGGTTCAATTCCTGGTCAGGGCACATGCCCGGGTTGCAGGCTCCATCCCCAGCAGGGGGTGTACAGGAGGTAGCCAATTGATGTTTCTCTCTCACATCGATGTTTCCCTCTCTCTCTCCCTTCTACTCTCTCTAAAATAAATAAATATATCCTTAGGCGAGGATGAAAAAAAAAAAGAATGCTCCCCTCCCCAAATTCTTGTACACTCATCCCTCTCCCTCCCACACAGGTCACCCAAACTGACACCCTGCGGGCTCTGCATGTTAAGCTGGGAGCCTGCGTAGCGTTTACGGAGCAGTAAGTAGCTCAGGAGTCCATATCTAGACCAAACACAAGGTGTCATTACACTAGAGCAAAAGTCCTCTTCCGTACATAGACTGCGTGGCGACGCAGAGAGCAAGTCCGAACTCTGAACCTGCACGACTGTGGGACTGTGGCACTGGAAGGGCTTCACTGGGCTTGGTTCTTACCAGACTCTGGCCCCACGGACATGCTCAGGGCTGAAGTTCATGTCGGTCTGGAGACCGACTACCTGTCCAGGTAGTGGGTTCTAGCCGCTCTGTGACAGCAGTTGTAATAGACAACCATGACACAATGAGGTGTGGAGAGGACACCACACTGGAGGCCCAGCTAGTAAGATATCATGTAATAAAAACAATTTCAGAGTAAGTTTCCTTCCATTAATCACTAATTTCTCCCTTTTCGTAAAGACCTGTGCAGAGATTTCAACATCCTCCAGCCCAAGGCCAGACAATCAAATCGGATACCAGGCACTCTGTGGACTGGCAGGGCGAAGGAAAACTGGCTGGCAGCCCCTAGTTCATCTGTTCCCTAAGACTGTTCCAGTACATCCTGGCTCATTCTTTTTTTTTTTTTTTTTGCAGGGTCTCCAGAAGTGCAGGTTTATTGGGAACCAGCCTGCCGGACTACCTCTAAGGAGAGAGTAGCAACCGGCTTGTACAGACTAGGGATTTTTAAGCTCAGGGCTGGGGGGGGGGGGGAGGGTTGTTCAGCCGAGGAGACGTGGTTGTCTTTGATTGGTTGGGCCTGGGGTCTCCCGAGTTCTTGATTGGTCGGGGGCTGAGGTCTCCTGAAACTTGTTTTTCTTGTCTTCCGACCATTTGCAGTTTTGGGTGGGTTAGGGTGGTTCCATCATTCCGTTCCTCCTGACTGGAGTGATGGGTTTTGGTTTTCTTCTGGTTCCGCAGGTAGGAGGAGGTCCGGACGGGTTGGAGCCGGCCAATCAATCCAAACCACAGTTCACCCAGAATCTGGAAGTTAGCCCCGGCGAGCTTCTGCTGTCCACTCCTTTGCCAGGTCATCCTGGCTAATTCTTGTAGTCTTTGTATCTAAGTAGGTCACCTTAATTATTCAGCAACTAAACATCTTTCTTTCCCCTAAGAGAATCACATCCTATTTTAAACTTGGCTTTTTCAGATGGGCAAAAAGGAACGTGAGGTGAGGAAACAGACATGATTCACACACGTCAATTAAACTGCCTACACTGCCACTGGACCAACAGCACTCATTAACGAGATGTGGTAATGGGGTAGGATTTACCCCGCCCCCGCCCCACCTCCAACAATTAATCATCTGCAGCAAATAAGTGGTAAATGTTCTTTTAGAGAGTCTTCTTACATCAACATGTCAGAACTGGTAACATAAACATGACAATCATCCTTCAGAAACACTCTGCACACGTCACATCTCCCCTCGAAGGCTCTGGGAGGGCCGCACTGAGCACTGTAACTCACCAGGACACAGCTCTGGCCCCCCCCTCCCCATTTCTGGCACAGAGCTCCTAAAACCCTGGAGTGTGATGGAAGCAATAAGGATGCTCTGCATGTTAATGAGGTGACTTTGGACTGCAGGGAGGATGAAGGCTGGCTGCCAGCAAGATAACCGTGATTAGGGGGTTGGAACATTCAGCCCCACCTACCTGGCCTCGGGGGAGAGGCAAGGGGCTGGACGCTGACTCGCAATCACCAATGGCCAGCGATTTAATCAACTGTGCCTGTGTAATGAAGCCTCCACACAAACCCCAAAGGAGGGAGTTTGAAGAGCTTCGGGCTGGCGAACACATGGAGACGCAGGGTGAGCGGTGCCCCACGGGGCGCGGAACTGCCACGCCCTCCCAGCGCCTTGTCCTGTACATCTCTGCCACTGGGCTGTTCTGAGTTATATCTGTGAGACACCCTGGCAA